CTCACAGTTGTAAAATGTTTCAAATCAAGAGTGTCCTCCTGCAAATAGACGAGACCCATGATTCTTCAATCAGGTCACATGGGAGCACCACCCAAGTGACTGTACCGTTCACAGCCTTCACCGCAAGACATGTTTCTTAGGGCTCCTGGCTGACCTCTGTTTCGAAGACGCTGTCTGGACCGTCACGGGACGTGTCACGGGTGGTCAGGTCACCTGTTTTCACCTGTTCACCTCGGTGAGTTCGCCTGGAAGTAGCCCAGGTCTTCGACCGCATCGCTGTGGCCTGCGGCTTCGAGACAAGCAGGACGCAGGTCGACGTCGCCGCTGGGTCGACGGGACGTCGCGTCGGGTTCAGATCACAAGGGCCCAAGATGGGTGAAGTCCAAGTGGATAAGAAGTCCAATTTAACCCACCACAACCAAGTGGCAAGGACCATGAAACACATGATTGGGGGGGTGAAACCCCCAAATCTTCAAGTTTTGCTCCGAAGCCACATCATGTCACATCGAAAATGGTCAACTGGCTGTTGCTGGGGGAGACCAGAACGATCACCTGCTGCCTTGGTTCGAATGTTCCTTTGAATCGTCTACGGATTGGGACGACGGGAGGTTCCCTGCGAGTGTCCCAGTTGATTCGCGAGTCTTGTGCATTTTAGCCTGAATGGATTCCGTTGATCACTCCTGATTCCCTGCTTGGTCGAATGTCTGAAGCCGAGCTGCCCTGCAAGCGACGAATCCTGAGAGAACCGCAGAGATTGCGTGAGATTGCTCCCAACTCCCAGGCAGGAGAAACCAAAGGGCCTATGCGTATACAGTGACAGCCCAAACAATGATAACAATGTATGTACATAAGTGCATTCATATGTGTATATATATATGTGTACATATACGCATACGCTTACACATAAGATTCGTGTGATTTCATGTGATTTTCATGTGTATGTTTTTACATACAGATGTTGGCGCACCATGGCAAACTCTACGACATGAGACTCCGAACCCCACGGAAAAGGAACTCTCGGACGCACGAGAGTAGCCCCTACCCCCCGACCCAAGTCGCCCCACCTCCGGGGAGATGCCGCTGAAAGGTTGAAACACCAAAGAAAGAACCAAGAGTTCGATGTCGGGCTGTGTGTTTTCCATCTATCTGGGGCCCAGAACCAAGTTGACCACCCAAACCCGGAGCTGCTTTTGGTTTAGCTTCCTGATTCGGGAATGAACATCCATGTCCCTGATGTCGGCGAGTCCAAATTCTCTTCGTCTCCAGCATTGACCTGAAGTATTTCTCACTGAATGCAAGTGGGAAATCAATGGAAACCATCTTGACTTGAGTCATCTTGAGTCCAGAAATGCATATGTATAAATTACATAAGATGGTTTCCACTCAGAAGAGATCCCTTCTCCAGCTTTGCCTTTCAGGGGTCGCCTTAGTCCACACCAGGATCTCCAGGACCCCTGGGCTTTGCTGCGTCATACTTGCGGACATGTTCCCTCGTCATTACTGGTCATTCAGGGGGGGGCACTCAGCTCAGCTTGTGAAAATGTCCCCAGAGATTGGAAGATACAGTACCCATGACTCAATCTCCCCACTCAATTGACTCAATGACCCATGGGCCACAACCATCCATAACCCACCCCAATGTGCTGACCTGCGTCCCATCCAAAGAGAACATCAGCCAAGCATCGGCTTCAGGGTTTCTGGATCCAAAATGCACAGATCATGCTCCGAAGTGGCCACCTGGCATGGCTTTTCTTTGTGTGTGTGTGTGTTAGACTTGGACCACAGAAAGATTGCCCTTTTCCAAATGAAAGTAGATGGATGGATTTGTGATTGGTCTTCCTAAAGTCCAAAGAACAGCACTCGTTTGGTGCTGTTTCGTTTTAACCAAATCCTTCAGACTTCAGACATCATTTTTCGTTTGGCCGATCCAATGTCCCTTGGGTCACAGATCCACCCAGCCCCAGCCAGAGTTGTGATCCAATTCTTGCCGGCTGGGCGGCCAGGCTGCTGCAGTCACAGCTGCAACCCAGCCTGACAAGAAGGTGATGCAAACAGAATTGCCCAAAAAATACACTGGATCCCCGATGTTATGCATCATATCATATGATATCATATGCATCCATACATCTGTCACCAAATTCATTTGCCGGGGTTTGAAGTTTGAAGTGTTGGTTTTCAGTGCTGACACCCGCGAACTTGAATATCCTGAACCCATGCGGTGGATTTCGTGTACATCCACGTCTCACAGTGGTGAGTGGCGGATGCACAGCCAAACCAAGCAAATTAGCTAGTAGGTTCAGCAGTGAACGCACCTTGTGTCCCTCCCAAATGAGCTGTTTTTATGGGCCTAATGAATCCATTTGGGTTAAGTCTGCCTGCAAGGACCATACTTTTAAACACATCCATCTCCCCATTGCTGTGATCATTCTTAATACAGACATCCAGCAGACACTGTCTTGACCACTAGGCCTGTCACTTGGTTTCCAACTCAACCGACACCCCTGTCACCCCCTCCTACCCACCGATCTATAGCTCAACCAACTGAGAAATATCTCCCCTGCCTGAAGACATAGACATCTTCTCCAACCTGGAATATCGGCTCAAAAAAGCACCTACTAACTGGCCCAACTATCCTGTGAGGTGTACCAGTAGCAAACGCATGTTCTTTTTCAAAACGGGTTGGAAGACAGCGAACTCTCAGGCTGGTTGTTACGATCATTGCAGTATGTATATATATATATGCTCAATGTGGAACCTTGAGCTCCCGCTAAAACAACTCAGATCTCAGTTGTCGGATGGCCACCCAAAGCATGACACTTTCGTCCTTCGCGTCCATGCGAACACAGGGCCAGCCTTCACCTGCTTCTTCACTTCAAAGGAGTGCAGTGCTTCCATGGCCAAACCATCGATATCTGTGGTCAAACGAGTCACGTGTTCGTTGCAGCCTGCAATGGAGGAACGAGACCAAATCTGAAGCATGACGAACGATTCTTGTGAGATGCGAAGATGATCTTGTCCGTCCACTGGTTATTGGAAAGAAGTGGTGCGTTGTTGTTCTTAATCCGAAATTTCAAAACAATCAAGAGCTCCCCACTTGGTTCTGCAATGCGACGTGTTGCGGTCCCAGTTTTGTATGTTTTATTTGGCACGACGGAATCTGTCAATGGGTTTCAGCATGTTTCAGTCATCTTCAGTCCATATTCCTTTCTGCCATCATGCGCAAAATATGCTCACCATGAAGATGACCCTGGGTTTCTCCTATTGAGATCGGGAAAGAGATGGAGATGGAGAAAGGACCAAAAAGCGCGGACCAACATGGAGCAGTTCCACTCCCCAGCCCACCATCATGCAACTCTGAATGGCTTCAAACATCTTCAAACACCGACTGTGGAGGGATCCTCTTTAGTTGGCCAAAGAAGGTGGCTCTCTCACAACCAACATCTGGAAAGCGACTGGATTCTGAAAACATCTCTTCAGAAATGATTTCCAAAATCGGCAGCCTGAACTTCTGTGGACATCACCGGTATTAAGCCCCACCCGCGCCAAGGCCCAAATGGTGCTTTCTTCACCGACTGAGCCCACTGAGCTGGCGACTGCTGATGCCACCTGTGATCAGTTCCATCCAGGACGTTGGAGAAACGCCAAGGGATGGTGTTCCAAACATGGCAAAATCATTCAGGAATGCATACCGGCGCCTATTTGCTCAGGAACGTCGAGAATGACACACACAACACACACACACAATTGCACAGCGGACCAAGCTGCTTTTGTTCCGGCGCACGAGATGCATCTCTTCAGGGTCTTTGTGCCCACGAGTTGTGTCGGATGCCATTGTTGGCGCGTTGAGCGGAGCATCCACTTTCATAGCAAGCGGAAGTTCGGGAACAGTTGATAACAAAGGCAAAGAATTTGATATAGTCTGACCCAATTCGATGTGACCTGTGAGCGACTGCAAAACATGCATTTTGAACTCCCATGACCACTCACTGACTATTCGTCACTTTCTCTAATTTAAGCCTAGCTCATGTATTGTTTTGCTGTTCTTTGTAGTGTGGTGGAGTCGTGCTCGTCCGCCATGCAAGCATGCAAGCATTCATGGGCCTGGGTCAACACGATTCTGGTTGCCGTAAATTCTGGCGGTGGTCAGAACTTTGGTTTTTAAATTGTTTGGTTGATGGCTGTTGACGGTGTTCAATTGTAAATTGTGAGTTGGCAGAATCACTGAATTGACCCAGACTCCAAATGTGAGACCCTCCATTGCATGCACCCTGGAGCATCTAATCGCACTGAAGGACTGAACGACAAACACGCAATTCCTTGAGGCAGGGGGCCGTCACACCAATGTGATTCCTTGCAGGCTCTTGGCAAAATCCTCACGAAGTGTGGATAAGAAATATAACTTAACTATATAGATAATTATATTTATAAATAAGAATGCTTACCAATATTTAATATACAAATATAAATATAAAACATAATACTTGGAGTCTCCTCTAGGTGCATGGCCCCCGGTGTTTTCACGCCCGGGGAGAGATCCGAACTACGGTACCTTTCGTCGCTGGAAAACAGTCTGCCATCTTGACAGACCTGAGCCTACAAAATCAGCACTTGTACATGCGGGTCAGAGTTGGCACACATCAACGGCTAAACACCATTTCTGGTCCACTGGAGTCCACTGGAGTCGACTGGGTGCTAGCCAATGGGTGCGAATGAACGGATGGACGTTGGAGGATGAACGGTGTTCAGTTCACTGGGCCTCTGGGAGGCTACCTTACTTTTTCCTCTCTAGTCTATCCTGTGGTCCTGTCTTGAAATGTCTTCAATCTGAGGCCAAGACAAGACAAACCATGGTATCATGCTGATACAAGGCGCAACCGCACAAAACACAAACCATCTTTGAAACATCTATTAAGACCGCTGAATTGAAGCGAAGAAAAGACATTCACATGGATTCACCCTTTCTGTTTCTAGGCCTCCATGACCTTTGGGAACCTAAAAAAGGAAAACCGCGACCGCCCGGCGGCCGCCCCATCTACTTTTAGGGCTCTCCTCGTTGAAGCGATGCCGCCCGCGACTGCTGGGACGTGTCTGTACAGAAAGCCATCAGAAGGACCAGCGCCTCCAGACGGATCGGGTGGATTTTCTCTGTCGAAAGTAGGGGACGACGACCCGGCGGCGATGCACGCGAAGCGGCGAGGCGATGCGACTGATTGATTCTGCTTCGACCAGACGCTTCGTCCGACCTCTACAAGACCTTGCGATGGATGGATGCTGCCTTCTAAAAGGATGTGCACTCCACCACAAAGCTCGCAAATACCACTAGCATCCACTAGCCACTAGCCCCTTGAACAACGCAACCATCACCTCAGTCAGTTTCGGAAGCTTGAACCATAAACGACATGCCACTTAACAGATTCCAAGTCGATCCAGACATGCGTTTCACGTGAATTTCAACACCCAATCCTTCACACGGGCATCAAAGCCAAGGTATCCGCCAAATCACCATCAGCCTGTGTTGCAGAAAGAAAACTGAAACCCCCTGTTCATGAACAATCTCTGAAGGTTACACTATATGAACACAAAGAAAACGGATCCCTTGAAGAATTGGAGGAGCTAATTTTCCATTTCGACCTGACTGTGCCAAAGATGTGCCAACTGAGCAAAGAACCCCGTTTCCATCCTTCCTCGGGTCTCCCTGTGATCCTGTGTCCCTTTCTCCCAACTCCCCTCCATGACCTCTCAAGTGGAGCTGGCGGCGGTGGCGGTGCTTTCGGCGCCGGCGGCGCTTCTCTTGGGCGTCCGACCTGCACAGGGCTCACATTCGGAGCAAGAGCGGCCAGGTCACGAGCGACTCCGGGAGTCTGGTCGGCTTTCATGAACTGGACAAGCAGGAAAGAGACAACGAAACAAATGAAACAGGTGTGACAGGTGTGACAGGGGGCCCTCCTGCCTCTTTTGGTTGAGCTACGCATGAACAACCCGCTTCCCGTTCTTGCACCGCTTCTTACACTCGCAAGCCTCCGCAGCCCTGCTCGGAGCCTGCTTGGTGCTCGGTGCCTGGCCGACAGTCGCGCGCCGTGCATCGATGGTGCTGCCCGAATGAGCATGTGCCCGGAAGCGGTCAGGCCATGTCTGGCCCTTTCATGAGCACGTTGAAAACACATTTTTGGGGGGTATTGTTTGGGATTGGTGTCATTCTGTTTAGATTCATTCGCTGGCATTGCCCTGTTTCATTGGTACGGTCTGAACCTTTTTCGCCCCGAGTCCTTGCACTTAAAGAGTGTTTGGGGGTCTGACAGACACTCACCATTTGCAAGTTTGGCCAATCTTGGCTATCAAATGGACAGTGGTGCCAACAGCTAGTTTTTCATGAGCTGGAGGAGGAGATACAATATGATACAATTAAGAATGGCAAGCGATTCTTGAGTCCCTTGGTTTTCTGCCACCAAGAGATACAAAGTCAACCATGGAATGATCCGCAGCCGGTTTGCAAGGCAATCATCTACCGAGTAACGTTTGGAAGGCTCCTTGTGCCATCGATCAGCCCAAACAAAAATATGGATTCCTAGCGAAAAGAGGATCAAGGTGTGTTGGACCACTGTTGACCCACAAATAATAGGTATATATAGGTATCATGTTCGGGATTTCTCAAAAAAAAAAAGGTGTTCAAGGAAACAAACATATAACTTTACATGCCGACCTTTGACACCTTTATTCGTGTCTTGATTTTCCTGGCAGTCTTGGTGTCAGACCTCGAGCGCCCCTGGTCGGCCCTCTCTTCCAACAAGCTCCTCTGTTAATACTTTTGTACCGCCTGCTTGAACACTGGCACCATGCAAGACATGAAACAAAACCGGTTGGTTGGTTTACAGCTTCTGCCACGTCACCGCGCTCCGTCCGTTCAGTCACACCTGCACCTGCGTCTGGTAGACGAAGCCACCACCAACACGGGCTGAGACAGTCTGACCAGCGCAGCAAAATAGACATAAGTCGAGAGCTTGTTCCAAAGGACGTGTCAAGCTGCATGACAAAGACTTCATTGCTTTGTGTGAAAGCTCAAAAGGCACTCTTTCCGCTCAAAATGCGTAGCGACATCAAATGGCTTAAGGCCTGTAAGGTAAAAAGGCCGCGGTCACCAATCAATCTGAACCAACCCAAACTCAAGCATCATTCTTCAGTGGATCTATCTTTTTGTTGATTTTGGGGTTTGGGTTCAGGTCCAAACAACGTGACCAGGACATCGGCGGTTTCGCCAAGCATGTCCATCTTGCCACCTCTCACGTCCTTCTCCAGGATTCTCCACTCGGCTTGGTGGTCGGTATCGAATCGAGCGTACGTCGTTCGGAGGGGAAATGATTTCTCATCAAATCTTGGAGCCGGACTGCGAAAGGATCTTGCGTTCCTACACACGTGGATTCCGTGTGGGTCTTGGAAGTGCCAGCCGGGTCTCTCAGCGAGCCGCATCAAATGGCTCAACATGGGGTCATCAGCGCTCAGAAGTCGACCGGGGAGAGAAAGTCCCTTTGGAGCAGCAGCCTTCAAAGGCTTTGTGGTTTGCTTGACAAACCGAGGGTTGTATGTCATGCTCCATGTGCCTTGGTGCAGCACTGCTTTGAGATGGTCTGACTTCATCTCTTTTGTACCGCAATCTATCAGCATATTTTCGGTCGAAGTCCAGTGGATCTGCGTCTTGTCTTTGCGAAGGACTTCACGCATCCAAGCCACTGTAAATGCCAATGATTTCTGGCTTCCGTAGGTTGGCGTATCTGATGTGTTCTTGTCGTACACATCTTTTGCATCTGTGACCAGCCCCAAAGGAATGGAGCTGTTGTACTGCTCGTCCCCCTTCAAGACACTAAAGCCTTGAACCTCAGCAAGCAATCCTCGGGAGAAGAGCCCAATGTCCAGAGATTCCTCTGATCCCAACAATTCGGCGCCGTATGTCGAGCGGCACACCCTTGTGAGTCTGTGACTGCGGGCATCCAACACTCCGAATCGTCCTTGCTTGCCACTCATGAGGTTGCGGTCTGCAACCAACACAAGGTAAGCGGCCTGACTGAACACCTTGGTGTACAATGTACCATCTGCTCCACCGGCTCTCGTGACATTGCCTAATGAAGCATCTGTCACCACCAAAATGCCAGCACCTTGTAGGTCCATCTGACCAAAGCGAAGCTTGAATCCAGCATCCTGTTTCATCAAACGGGCCAGGGCATTCGCTTTGAGCAATGTCTTGACAACTGGAGGTTCGCCTTGCAACACACTAAGGTGAAATCCCATGTCCCACCTCACTTGAGCCACCAACCACTGTAAGCTTCCCAGTATGGCTCTCAACTGGCGATGCTCGGCAGGTGTGAGTGCTGCTTCAAGTTGCTTCTTGCGGTGAACAGGGACAGCAATGGGCTGCACGTTCTCATGGTAGGCCTGCATACTGACCTCAATGGTCATGTCAGCATTCTGCTTGATTTGTTTGCCGGAATACGTAAAACAACCTGTCTCCAGCGATCCGAACCCAAGCTCATCCCCTAGGGCTCTGAGGGACTTGCCAGCTAGGTCTGTGCCTCCCATCAAAAGGTCGTCGACGTGGCTGACCACAATACCTTGTAGGGAGCCATCGACTCCATAAAGGAACCACTGAGCTGCATCCATGTCACTGCGACGCCATCCCAAGCGAAGAAGTGACTTGTTCAACCGGAGATACCATCGTCTCGGGCTGTCTGCTAATCCAAAAACTCCTTTTCGCACACGGGCTAAGCCGCCAGCACTGAAAGGAAGCATCGGCTCGTCAGCAGAGGTGCAACGAATGTTGCAAATGTACAGCTCACGCTCACCTTCTTGGAAATATTCGCCTTTCAAAAAGGCGGACTTCACATCAGCTGACCACAAACACCACTTGCGAGCTGCTGCAACAATGAACAACATGTGTTGCGAACTGCGAGAACTTGTGGGTGCATCTTTGCGGACACTGTATGCTGTTTCATCTTTGTACCCTGGAATGACCACACGTGCATTGGCCAACAAGGGCAACGGGTTGCTGTCTGACCTGAGACCATCGTGCTTGTCGGTATAGATGTACCGAGGTGTGAGGATCTTGTGCAACTGACCGGATGCTCTCAGCTTTGCCTTGATGCGCTCGGACTCCTCATCTGAAAGAATCTCAAAAGCACCATTGTCAACCTGAACTTTCCAACCGGTTTCAGCTGCTTTCCGGTATTCAGCTCGCTCATGCATGGGGATGTCCTTCCATTTCACTTCACGACGAGCTGTCTTGGCTGCATTGACTTCGTGTTCTCCACAAGGCCAAAGAGTGCAACTGATCTCATGCGCCTCCCACGATGTGCGGGTAGGCAAAGGCCACTTGCCTGACCAGCTGCCATGGTCTTGAACTGCAAGGTTGCCATCTGCTTTCTTATCTTTCTCCACTTGCAGTTGTATCGCTCTCAAGGGATGCATGGTGGCATTCTTGAGGATATTTTCAAAAATCTCATCTTGCTTTGGCGCTTGCTCAACATCTGGAACGGACTGATTTGCAGTGTCTTTGGCATACCTGGAAACAAGTGCCCGCTTGGTCTTGAGCACATTCTGAATCACCGAGGTGGCCACCAACACCGAATGCTCTTCATCTTCACGCAGCATCTTTTGGGGCTGCTCTGACTCAACCTCCGAAGGCCTCTTCACTCCCGTCTGCTCGTCAAGCTCTCTAGCAGCATCCAACGAAGCTGACAAGCGGGAACTCAACGGTGGAGTGACCGGCGATGCTTGACTAGCACCTGTGATCAACGGGGGCACAGGCGTGCCAGGTGCAGCATGACTCATCTGTCGCGAGGGCCCGCGACTGGAAGCTGCCATGGAAGATGCTCTTCTGCTCAAACTGCCACTGCCTGGAAGCTCGCTCCCAAAGTGACTCCCTCCTCCTAAAACACCCAGTCCTCCTCCATCCAGGGCTTGAAACAACTCTGTTGGGGCAACAGGTGGCAAATCATCTTGCACTGCGTGTTGTTCAGGCACTGTCGGTAAGGGACTTGGATCAACTACCACTGAAGGCGTCGGAGGTGGTGGAAGGTTTGGGCCAACATCTTCGGAGCTCTGTCGTTTGACATCACGCAATGCCGCTTCAACGCAATCCTGTATTGCATCGTGCCAGACCTCTGCAGAAATCTGTTCCATCGACGAGGCGCTCCTCAAATGTTCTCTGGCGCACTTTGAAAGCTGTCCCTTGAAGGACACATATCCAGCATTATGACCTTCTAGGGCCACGAGAAGGGCCGGGCCGTGCCATCTCCTCAGGGACAACCTCTTCTTCGAAGGTGCGGTTTTGGAGTTGTACTTGGACTCTCTCCAAAAATAAACAATGTCCCCAGGTTCAAGCGGCTGCGACATGGTGGAGCTCCGGGATCGTGCAAGCTCGGCTCTACGAATGCCTTTGGAGAAATGAAGCCTGGTCATAGCAACTTTTGCTGTTTCTCTCAAAGCAATTTGCCTCGCCAGCGACGGGCGTCCATCTATTAGACCATGTTCAGCAAGCCTCTGCCCAAAATTGCCCAACACATCCCCAATCATCCTGGGTTGTCGGCCAATAGCAGCTTGAGCTGGACTGACTCCTAATTCATTGATGTCTGCATTGTATGCCAGAGTGCACTCTTGTAGAGCCAACTTCATATCTGACAACCCTGCGACTGAGCGGCTTTTGACACAACACTCCAAAAGGCCTTTTAAGATGCCTCCACCTCTCTCACATACACCATTGCACCAAGGCGCCTGAATGGGAATGTGGTGCAAAAGGATGGAGTGGCGATCACACATCTCCTGAAATGCCCAGGAAATGAATTCGCGGCCTTGGTCGGCCACAATGACCCTTGGAGGCCCAAACACGCTCATCCAACGTTCTTGGAACCAGTGAACAATGCTGTCGGAGTCTTTGTGTTCCAAAGCTTCTGCCATTTGGAACCTGCTGGTCCAGTCAATGCAATGCACAATGTAAAAACGCTGCTCTGTGATATCTGAACACTCAAAAATGTCTATGTGCACCTGATCCGAAACATCTTTGGGCGTAGGCAACGACGTCGGCCGATGGCTTTTGGGTCGCCTTTTCTCATCACAGAGGCTGCATTTCAACGTTTTGGCTGCCAAGATCACTTCTTTGGGGGCACCAGACAAAACCAAAGCCCTTGCCAAGCGACGGTTTGAACGGTGACCTGTGTTCTCATGCAAGCGTTTGACAGCTTGCCGAACTGCTGAGGAAACTCTTGCTTCGGGTGCACCATCTTCATCAACTGAAGAGATCTCTGATTCTGTGTCATACGGATCCATGGTTGCACCTCCTTCCTCCTCAGGCTTTTCCTCCTCCGCCCCATCAACAGCCAACACTTCACGACACTTGGCATGGTCGAGGTGGAACTGTTTCTCAAGGCCTCGAACAATAGCTCGAGCAAGTGCAATCGGGTAGTGACCAGCTCTGCTTGTGATCTTGGCTCCTCCGAGAACTGGCTGGTGGATGTGGTTCCGACTGCAATGCATGCCTTGCAATTCATCAACAACACATGAAGACGAAGTAGCAATGCGAGTGGGTTTGCGGTGAAGAAAACCTGAAGCACTCTTGAGCTGGAATGCACACTGATCAAAATCAACACATTCAACAGCTGCTGACTCAAGGAATTGTATGACCTCGGGCAGCGTCCAAGCCATTGAGCATTTGGGGTTCTCCAAAATCAAATGTGCATTCCTCTTCAATTGCAACCGAGCAAGGACCAGGGCAAAATTCAAAAGGACACGACCTTCTTTCCGCCTCTCCTCCAGTGTTGCACTGGGCCTCAACCTTGTCAAAGGAGACCAAGGCCCACATGGAAAAGCCAACACCAGGCAAAACGGATCTTCCTGCATGACTTTGTGGAGACATGCATTGCGGTCTTCTTTCTTCAAAAAGTTCCAGCCGGTCTCGAGCGACATGGATGTAGCAACTTTGTGTCCTCTCAATGCTGCCTGTTTTGCAACTTGCTCTGTAGCTGTATAGATCTCCCCAACAATCGGCTGAGTGGAACCTTTATCTGGACCTTTCTTCACTTTGGCGGGGTCGTCCCGAGGCCGTTGGGTGTGAGCCACCGTCCCAACTGTTTGGCGCCTGGTCGACCCCTCAGCTCCCTTCGAAGACACCTCCACCCGCATGATGAAGTTCTCCTGAAAGCATTTGTGCATACTTTGGTTCCACTCTGCCGTCATGACCTGCTTGATCTCACGATGATTTTGGGAGATCAACTCACGATCTTTGCAGTGTTTTCGCCAAGCGTCGCCAATCATTTGAGCAAGGCCTGGCTTCACACTCTGATTCACACTCCAGGGGTTCATCCCGAGGTGTTTCCAAAGAATGGCCCCCTGAGAAGGTCCGCCTCCTCCTGCTTGAGATCGGACTGCACTTGCCAATTCAACTGACGAAGCTCTTCCTCCGTGTAAAGGGCTCCTTGGATCTCCTCCTGACTCCAACCATGGGCTGTCCCGTCCATCACGGCATCGTCCTGAGCCATGTCGAAGCGCATCGCTCCTTGAGTCTGCAGGTTCACCGGAACTTGATTCCCCTGCAAGGACATCATGTGGCCCATGACTTGAGTCAACATGCTCTGAAACTTCTGATCCTGCTGCGCCAGTAGGTCGTGGATGTCTTGCAACTTCACTCCTGGCATTGGACTTGAGGCTGCAGTCATGCCTGGCGTGGAAGGAGCGGCCAACGCTGGGGTCTCCGGAGCACGAGTTGAGGCTGTTGTCAAACCCTTTGGAGGCTCCTGGTGTGAACTTGCTGAACTGCTTTTGGCCGAGGGTGGATCCTTGCTTGCAATCAACTTGACGACCGGTCGAATGGCCGCCTTGAGCTGCTCGACTGTTGTCTTCTCGTTGTACTCCACCTGAACGAGAGATGCAAGCTTTTGGAGATCTGACTTCAAACTTGGCAATCCTCCCCTGGGGCCTATCAGCTCCCGAACTGCATCGGCTTGCTTGCCTTCCTTCTTGGCCTTGTCTGCTGCAGCTCGAGCCTCTGAAACTGCCTCCTGGCGAATCTTGCTGGCGATTCCTTTTGAACTGCGAGCTGCCAGCATCCCTTGAAGCATGGGATCTTCCACAAATGAGGTCTGCCAACCGAGGCGGTCTCGAAGCCACATGCACTCCTTCAAATTTGCGGCCGTGAAGCTTTGGAGAGTCTGGGCTCTTTGGAAATGAGCCTTGGGCAACGCTCCATTGGCCACCATGTTTTGTGCCTGCAATTGCCACTGCATCAGGCTGCTGATTGAAGGATACGGAAAGGGCACATAGCGCAGCCACGGCCGCCGACACAACCATAAGCAAATGCCGTGCACGTGCCATAGGACTCTTGTTTGCAGGCGGATGAGAAACCTGCGCCACTTTCCCACCGGTTGACTTTCGAGGTCGATCAAGTCGTCCATGAGCAATCCCGAGAGTGAGGTCTCGATCGGGTGTGCTTGAAGAGGATGTTGTCGGACTTGGTGAGGCGTTCAAACTAGCCATTCTTCGAGCCAAATCCAACGAATTGCTACCTGCTTCAACCGACATGCCTACAAGCTTTGCTGCACAGAATGCTCTGACAAAAGATGCTCATGGCTCTTGGGGTCGTGGTGAGGATTTCCAACAAACTGAACTGCCAGAAGCTTTCTTTGCAACCACTCGTGATGCGCAATCTGCAATGCAACCACCCCATCCTGTCCAACCCGACGCCAACGCTGGGAACCAGGCCTGGGCCACTCCGAAGGGATCAATCGCAATGCAAAATGTCCTGCCGTCAACTGGTGCAAAGAAATGTGCTTGCCCGACAAATGATCAGCCCTCATGATCTTCTTGGAAAAGCTCAACACGCAACCAACTCCATCCAACCAATCCCGTCCCAGAAGTAGTCCCAAACTCTCAACTGGAATGATGGATACCCAAGTGAGGACCAAATCTGTCCCAATGACCATCGGCAACCTGATTCTGTAAGAACTCTTCTGTGTGCCGCCGTCACCGAAACGAAATGTCTCCTGCTCAGGGCATTGTTGAACCAAGCATTTGATCTCCTGGGGCGCGGCATTGAGTGCGGTGAGGTAATGATCCAACCAAGCTGTTCCACAACAAGTTCTGTTACAAGCTGAATCCAAGGCACCCATCAGTCGTTTGTCCATGGATAGGGAGGCCAACTGGCTCACATGGACTTCGTTCGACTGGCGCAAGGCTTCCGACAACGTGGATGGACGACTCACGCGAGACAATGTCAACACTTCATGAGCTTCATCCGCAGGTGCAGTGGGGTCAGCGGAAAGCTCTGTAGTCAAAGCTTCAGCCACACGCACTTGCTTCTGAGGCTTGGGATTGCTATTCTTGGGCTTGTAGAGTCCTGCTCCAGGGTTTGGGCAACCATGGTCTCCACTCCAATGGCCTTGCTGGCCGCAATCCCAACAACTCGACTTGGCTTTCTTGCCATTGACTTGATTGCCTGTGAATCGAGGTTTTGCAGGTTGGCTCATAGGCTTTCCATATCCTCGATCCTTCTTGATCTCGGCAATCTTATGGCGAGCCTCACGCATTGTGACAAGCGACTCAGCGGCTTGTTCGACTCCACATTCTAGGGCTTCCAGCACGTCAGGTTCCATGCCCTCTTCCTCAAGAGCCTGAATCTCTGCCGCCAACACTTCGGCTTCCGCCGTCAAAACCTCTTCAAGGCCACTTGCATTGGCCTCTGGCTGATCTGGAACCAACTCCTCTTCATCGTCTTCGCCTTCAAGGACTTCGTCAGCAAGCCCTTCAGCGACCATGGCACTTCGTGGAGGTGGAGGCTTGGGAGGTTGTCTAAAACTCTTCTGTGAACTGCCACCAACCGACGACGACCTGTACGACCGAGTACCAAAGGACGATGAACCACCGCTGGAGGGGAGTGAGGTTCTGTAAGATGAGGCTCCCGACTGAGACTGGCTGAGGAAGCGGCTGAGCAATGGTGATCTATCAGTGGCGCTCTTCCGATGCAAAGGATCTTCACTATGCAAATCACGGAAGAGTCTCAATGCTTCAGCTTCAACTTCCTCATAGGATTCACGACCCCTCAACGCTGTATCAAGCAACTGGACTCGAATTGCATCGAGCCCCAAGCGATTTCGCAAGAACCAACCCAACTCCTCGCTTGGCAATGTAATGCCTTCTCGACGCATCTCCGACACAAGCGTTCGAAAGCGGGTGCAAAAGGTGCTGATTCTCTCGCCAGCGTTTCGTTTGAGGTCTTGGTAAAACTGGCGTCGAAGTTCACCTTTTCGATCGAGGATGGTCCTTCCCATGCTCTCTTCAAGAGCCTTCATAAGTTTGCGGATGCCAAACCAAGGGTCTGCCTCTTCAAGGACCACCTCTTCGCCAGATGATGGGTCTGTACCCCTCACTTCAGTCTTCCCGGCCAATTCTTCGGGAGTGAACTCTTCACATCGAGCTCGAACGATGCCTGTTTGGCGCAATGTCCAACGAGCTGCAACATTGTATTTGGTGCACGACGATGCGTCCATCGACGCCATCCACCAACTCATCTCCCTTTGAAAGGTTCGGAAGGTCGAAGGGTTCCCATCCCATGTAGGAACTTTGTACCAAGCAGATGATCCTTTTTTCTTCATCAGCCATGGTTCCTCGCAAAATGCGAGGATGAAACAACTAAGGTGTCAACTGCAAAAAGGCAACGTACAATGTCCAATGTCACAAGCGATGCAACCAACGGGCAATGCACAATGCAAAAGATGTCAATGCACAACGTACAAGCGGTCAACAGCAACTAGCAATGTATGCAGCAACCAATGTAATGTGCAATGTCGTGAACCCAACAATGTATGGCTTAGCCAGCCCAATGTAAAGTTCACCAACGAATTCCGGTTTTGTAGGAGCAGTCTGGGCTCAGAGCGCTTGCCCACCACCAAACACTTCCAACTCAACCAATCAAGCACACGCGGAGTTCAGGGCCAACAATCAAGCCACCCAAAGGCGGATCAAGCCAGCAATGCTCAACCGCAAGGATCTTCAAGCTCCGAGTACCACTGTGAAAGCTCAAAAGGCACTCTTTCCGCTCAAAATGCGTAGCGACATCAAATGGCTTAAGGCCTGTAAGGTAAAAAGGCCGCGGTCACCAATCAATCTGAACCAACCCAAACTCAAGCATCATTCTTCACTTTGGAATGAATGGACTGTTATGTACTTTGATCATCTTTCATCATTGATCTTGAGTGTTGCAGACCAACAAGAGAAAACTGCGCAGCTGAGTCCCAGCTTTGCTTCTTCCAAGCAAAGAGTAGGCTCAATCACAAAACAATAGAGAACGTCAAAGCTTAGAGCTGCTAGTCTGTGACTCACTTCAAGTCATGCAAAAAACATCACAAAAATAGGCCATAAATCAAATTATATGTATCTGTATATAATGATATAATGAAAATGGATCAAGCAACTGCACACCAAAACCAAAAGATTCAAGAATCCCTGCCCTCAGATCGTGTCTCAGACCGTGGGCCGGCCCTGACGGGTTTCCATGGCCCTGCCTTAGATGGACTCGCGGAGGACCTCAGGAAGCCGACCAAGCCGATTCTTCCCGAGCTGAGAACGTTGATTCTGAGGTTGTATGCCCATTGGAAACCATGGGAACCAAAAATATGTGGTCAATGTCAGTGGGTCGTCTATACATCAGCCTCTCACCTTCTCTATTAAAATGAGGACCTATCGCAAAACACAGCTCGGCTCGGCATCTCCCTCCCACATGCTCCGAGACCGGCGATGACTCCGGTGAGCATCGCTGCCCCCCCTTTGTTCGCACCAGTCGTCGGTCCAGAGACGCAGTGGAAGTGCTTGTGTAGACTCTTGATATCTCTTAGATGAGTTTACTGATATATCAGTTCCATGCTCAACCAAGAGATATGTAGACTCATGCTAGACTCTTGATATCTCTTGATGATACTTCCATGTGAAAAAAAAAAAAAAAAAAACTCCCCCCCGGAAGAGGTGAAACACGTTCAATGCATCAAGAGTCTAGCATTAAGATACTACGTTAAGTGTTTCTTGATTTTCCTGCTGCAAAAGTGAGCTCGCTCGCTCGTTGGTCTGACGATCTCGTGCCCTTCGTGTTGACAACCAACCCGGTGGACTGACGTCGCCAGGTCTCCGGGCCGTTTCAGGCGCGGCGCGCTGCGCGCTTGTCGCCTAGACCGGGGCGACCGGGGGGGCGAAAGGGATCATGCCTGGTCCAAGTTCGGCCAGGAGCTGAAGCCTGTCCCTACTCCGATGGGATTCTCCACCCACCCACCAGCTGCTTGACCATCATTGCACATCTTGACCTCCCGCTGGCACAAATGTGGCAAAACGGTTTGCAATCAACACGTCCGTGGGCCTTCTCCCACTCTAGCAGTTTCCCTCAACTTCCTCGCTGCGGAACCCTCGCCTTTGTCTGGGGATCTTCGCCATCCGCGCCCTGACAGATGTCGCAGAACACCGCTCATATTGCTGGGTCATTGACAGGCATTTTCAGGAGAAACTACCCAACGTTGGGTTGTTGCTAGGAGTTGTCTATCAAACAGCAGTATCTTCAGAGGGTCCAGTTTGTGAGACCCTCACTCACCTTCCTAAGCCGACCAAAAAACAAACCAGAAGATACCATTAGTCCTACAGCCTATAGTTTCTGCCGGGGTGCTGAAACTATAGAAATGTGTTGGCTGGACTCGTGCGGTACTTCGGGGATAAGTCAAGATCCATGGGCTGAGTCCAAATCCATCGCTGTCCCGCCTGGCTCCCCGCGGTGCCCAAGGGTTGGCCTGGCCGTTCTCGGCATGTGATGGACATGGGATGTGGCGAAGAGCGAAGAAGAAGTCAAACAGCACATGCTTCAATACACTGAAGCATGTGCTGCATGTTCTTGAGGTCATGATAGGTGTGTCCTCTTGCTGGTAACCGGTAGCTGTGATTTGGGGAAACCATCCTCAAACAAGCGCATGTTGAGAAACTAAAAAATTGGTCCAGACTTGTTCCTTTCTCAAGAGCAAAGCAGCGCCAATCTTCCTCACAGAAAGCTACTTGTGGAGCTGGAAGCGGCTGTACTCCAAAAACCTATCTGTAAGGGCCGCATCCTTTTGATCAATCTCAGGTATTGAAGGAAATTTTATGTAACTCCTGAGTTTTTGCTCCAAGAACTTGTAAAGGAGATGTACCTCACGTTTCTTAGTCACTGGCCACGGACAGCCCAGTCGTCCACTGTTTGCCCCGCCTCACAGGTCCGTGTGTCGCCCTCCTGGCAGTGGAGTCCGAAAGAACTCCCTTCGTAACCGACCGGAGAACTGCCACGGTGCGACATGTTTCCAGAGTTGATATCTGGTGATATCATTCAGAGTCATCGCATCAAACCATGACATGATTCCACAAAACAATCTCGAACGTGATATTCCCCCGACTCTGTATGTACTGCGGGTGTTGGGAACCCGTGTGATGGGCCTATAGAGTATGCAGGGTCTTTTCACTTCGATACAACAAATCACTGTCTCTGAACATAAAAGGAATAACGATACCTGATGATACATGAGTCATCCTCTGCGCCATCCTCTGCGCAATCAAATCCGTAAAGAGGCATGCTTAACATTCACCGGTTGGGGATCAGTCCAAGAATCGCCAAACCTAGCGGCTATCTGAACTAGCAGCATTAGCAGGCCATGGTTCCTGAGAAGCGAAACGAAACGGACGAAGATCAGGCGGTGACTGAGATGGCCACCTTCATGCACCTCAGAGGGAGCCAGGTGTGGTCCGAGGTTATTTGGCAAATCGAGGGGGCCGGCGCAACAGATGTCAACTCACATTGGTATGACCTACGAGTTGTACGACCTAGTGGGGCAATCCCCCCCAAAATGACTCTAATTATACTCTAATCAACCAAACAAGGGTCCCCGGTTGGGGTCCCGGGGCTGCCGGTGCGGGGCCGGCAGGCTTTTGACCGGTCACAGACCTGGACCCCTTAGACTTCAAAACCCTGCATTCAAAAGAAACAAAACAAAGAAGCGGTTCAACTGAAGTGCGTTTCAAGGGTCTGAGTTGCGTATTTGTGCACAATGACTCCCCAGGTAACACCCTCAGACAGAGAAAGCATGAGAAAGCCAAGTGTTCGACTACGAGTAGATTGGAATTTAAAGATCCTACAAGAAACAGGGCGAGTTTAGGCGGATTCATGTCATGAAGCTTTGCCTGACCGAACAGACCCCAAAATAATGGTCCTCCAATCCAAGGCTTCGCCCACCAAATGGCTACACATTGAGCAGGGAAGGAGTGCTTAGGGTCATCCAAATAGATTGATGGTGTCCACTCATCGTACAGCAGAAGTCTTTTGACACCAAGTGTTCTCGGCACAAACGCCGCTGTCTTCCCGCCATGTCTTTAAAAGCGACTGTGCTCCTGGCTTCCTTGACATTCGCCCTTGCGACGCCCTGGCGCTGTGCTGCCAAAGCATGCGCACAGAGAATAAGCGAATCGAGTTCATCATCAGCTGGGAGTTCTCCCCAGGTCCGGAGAATACACGAAATGATTGACATGTCCAATTGATACTCCCCAGTCTTTTCAGAGGATTCCTGGGAGTTGCCGAGGATGAACGAGGAAGCTAGTGACCATGTTCATTCCCCTCCACCAACATGTTTAACAAGGAAGTTGGATGAAACACCGCTTCCTCATTGATTCTGATCTGATCCGTGTCATGTAGAACTAAGCGTTGTTTGGTGTTGTCCACGGCAATTCAGGCAATGAATGGCTTCAAAGCCGCGTGCAAATAGTCTGCCATCGCCAAGAAATTAGAACATACATATATATATATATGAACATGCACCCCATCTTGGGCATCGTTTGTCAAATTGTTCTTGGATCTTCTTGGTTGATGCTTGCCAACTGTGTCCATCCTTCAATCAACCTTGACCAACTGTCCACCTCTTTGTTCAGCTTCCTCGCCTCAAGGCATCTCGCCCAGGAGCAAAGGCTTCCCGCACCTGTGCCGCGTTCGCGTGGCCGATCTTCCGAAGCTCAGTGACTGGCAGTGTATTAACCCAGTGACTGGCAGTGACCGTATAGAATCGAAGGAACCAGGGTTCTAAGCGTTTTTGGAACCACTGTGGTTTGCCATGTGGCAAACGCCATGGTTTGCCTGGATTCACTAGGTAGAAGGCCCCAACCCTCTCGGTGTATATCAATGAAGCAAGACATGTGACATGAGCAGTGAGGCTTGTGTCTAAGCTAGAAGCACCTGAAAAGCAACATGGAATTCCTCAGGTTGAGAAGTCACAGGCGCATTCATTCTGCAAGTCCAGCTTGAGAGGATAGCATAAAGTATAACACGAAACTCGAGGTACAAGTAACATATGAAAAAGCTGGGAATTGGTGTTAGCTATGAGTTCTTCTGCAAATGTGCTCCAGTTTTCACCCCCAACCCCAAGAATCTCCCAAACGCCATCACCACGTGGTGTTCGTTTCGTCACCCTCGGTCTGGAGTCGCCCGAAGCCTTCTCGGTCACCGGCGGAGGTGGAGGTAGAGGTACAAACCTCGGCGCTCGCTCAGCGCTCGGCCAAAAACGACAACGACGACCGGAGAGTTGGACCGGAGTGGCGCGAACTCGTCAGGACGTGAGCGGTGACCCTGTTCTTGAGTGAAATAAATATGTCAAAAAAGATTTGGAGCATCAAAAAAATGACACCAGACACACAGAGGTGAGCGTGAAGTTTGGAGACTAAGACCTGGGAATCGGAAACTCAGGTTCGGAAACTGGATTATTTTTTGTCCGAAAGTGCAGAAGCGGGTTTTGGAAGCTCGGAAACTAGCAACGTGCTCTTCATACCATGCTTATACTTGCAGTTGCTCACATGAATGTCATGTCAGTACCCACCCCACCACCGCCTCCCCCACCCCTAGTTTCAGAACCTGACAAATAAAGTGCCAAAAATGGGTCTGAATCTGCCAAATATAGTTTCGGAACACGACAAAAATAGTTTCCGGACCCGGAAGAAACAGTTTCTCAACCCGACCAAACCAGTTGCTTTCTCCCGACAGAACCGGTTTCCGAACCCTAGTTTATGAACCGTGGTTTATGAACCCGGGCCAGTTTCTGAACCTTGTTGCACATTCCACACAAACAAGATGATCAAATAGTAAGACCCTGAAACTCGCAGGTTGACTCCCCCGTCGGAAGGAACTGGATTTGGGTGCAGGGTTGACTTGGGTCCCGGAGCCATCGCCAACATGTGCCCCACCCAACAATCGCCACAACGTCTTAGTGAGATTGAGTAAGGACATCAGGGAATGCTTATAGTATTTAGTGGGTCATTAGTCATTCCCCTTCTTCTCTACTTCGGTCGCAGTCCGTCAGTCTACGGGCCCCCTCTCCATCCTCGAGGGCACTCTTCCGGCGCCAGGGGCGGCTCATCGAGGGAGGGTGGGAACTTCGGCAGCCGCGGGTCCACGTCCACGCAAGCCACCTGCGGAACCACGAGTCCGACGCCCCATGGTGGGAACCGGCACCTTTGGAGTCCGGTGCAGAACGTGTGGCGAACGAGTGGCAGAACGTGTGGCGAACGAGTGGCGTGAAGCCAAAGGAGAAGCCAAGACGGGAGGATCCATGCTCTTAAGATCCCGAACAGGCCGAGCACATTCGATCACATTCGTATCCGTCTGATTCTCCCATGGTCTTGCCTTTGGTCCCTGTGCCATGCTCGCGCTCTGCACGGTCCAAGGCGAGGAAGTGTTGTGCTCGAAGAGTTTCTCCATGCCCAGATCCAACTGCACGCTGTGGACAGTCCCTCAAGATCCTACACCCGAGTAATCTATATGATTCTATATACACATATATATATATATGTATATAATACATTGTAATACTATGTGATGTATTGTGATGTGATTCTATATGTTATACCATGTGACCTTACCTTGAGGGGTTCTTGATTGTCCAGGTATCTCGATTAGAGAAGGACACACCAGGGGTCCAGGGTCCTCCAGGCTTATGGATCTGGGGAGAGGCATGTACAGTCGGTCAGTGGGCTACCCTACCCCTTCTGGACGCTCCACAATCTCACTGCCCTACATGATTCTCAGGAGACAACCAAAACGCAAACACTCTGCTCGCCTGCCGTGTATGGTAGAGGAAACCGCCACCCACCCGTGCGGACATGGTGTGCGTGGTGGTTCGCTCCAATTCTTTGACCTCAGTGCTTCGTCCGCACAGTGCGTGGTGGTTTCGCGGTGGTTTAGCCACAAGTGACTCGCCATGGCTCGCCACTTGCATGGAGGGACAAGAAGCGGAAGGGCGAGTGGTACCAGCTACTACAATCTTGTAAAGGACCAGAGATGCCAGCATGAGCTCAAACCTTTGGAACATGGGAACTAGAACTGCAGCCATGAGATGAGCTGCCACCAAGAAGCTGCCACCAAGATCCAACAAGATCCAACAGAAATACCTTCACAATCATCATACCCTCCTACAATGTTGCCCATCTAGCAAAAGCATCTTGGTCTGATGCTGCTAGCAGCTCCGAGTAGTTAAGTTGTTGGACGTGCAGGCAGCACGGGTCAAAACATGTTGAGCAATAAACACCACAGATGTTAAAAGGATCACTCGCCTCACAATCTTCGGGAGACAAACAGTTGTCTTCTATCTTCGTTGAGTCATCATCATCTTCTTCTTCTCCTCTTTTTCTTGCGCTTGCTACCCAAGTTTGTGTGATGAAGCTCAAATTCCACCTTGTGTGGTGATACAGGGTTCTACTTTCTTACCAATCAAAACAGAAATTCTGAGAGGGACAACTCAGTCAATTGTCAATAGCCAGCTGGAGTGCAACCCGGCTTGATTTATGCTTTGAGCTCCCTGGCCATATCACGATCTGGGCACTCCTGAACCTTTGAGAGCAGCCTTTCTGCACAGGTCGATTCCTGCGGCCGAATCCACGCGCATGCCAAGAGGGTCCAAGGAGCGGCATTCTCTCAAGAGGAGATACATTACGCATGACCGTTTACGAGGGCGGGCTTCCATAGCAAACCCAGCTTTCAGGGTTCACTTGACACAAAAGTTGTAATTTATACAATTGGACGCTACTATACAATTGGACGCTACTAGGGGCTCCTGGCCTTACTACTAGGAGCAAGGACGCTACTAGGAACAAGGACGCTACTAGGGGCTCCTGGCATCGCTACTAGTAGCAAGGACGCACTGTTCAGCTCCAAGACAGCAGAATTGTTACAGTACCTGACAGCATAGGTGATTGAGGAAGCTGCACCAAGGGCGGCTCAATCAACCGAGGGCGGTTTATCTGGTCAAAACCTCAGGTACTTTGTGTCAGAGACCCCTCGTTGACATCCACACCTTGCCCTGGTACACTTGCGTCCTTGCTCCTATATTATAGTATAGCTACCGTCCCACCTCCATCCTCCCGGCATCCACAAGGTCCCCGCCCTCTCTCCTGGCGCCATCCATCTTCGAACTTGGCTTCTTCGCGTAGCCTTAGCTGAGGTGGCGAGTCTGAACACGATGGAAAAAGACATGAACCTTTTAAGCTGGAGCTCTGGGAATGCTTTCGGGGGAATGCAAAATCATGTATATACATGGGTTTTACTGGACCAAGTCGCCCATGAACAGTACTCGGACCCCAAAAAAACTCCGCATGGGCCTACCAAGTCTCCCGGACCAAGTCGACCAAGTCGCTGACACCCAGAGCGAAACTCGACCCGGTTCCACCGAACCATCGACCCAGTGACCGGGTACCACCGCAACCACGTCACGGCACCCCCCTGTCACAACCGTCACTACCTCCCACGGCCACATGACCTCGCGAAGCAGCAAGGACCCGCCCTCTCGGCGAAGCGAAAAAAAGAGAACGAACGAAGAAGAAGAAGATCCTCGGGTCGAAAACGAGGCACATGACCTCGAGGACTCGGATCTGGCTGCCGATGGTCATGGTCTGCTGCTTGAAGTTGTTCGAGAGCCTGCAGTGCCAAGCGAAGGAGCAGCATGCTGCAGAGCAGCCAGCGGCTGAAGCATGCCGTCCGGCTCGGCGACGGACGACAGTTGATGCATTGATGCACCGGTCTTCGGGCGAAGAATGTTTTGGGATCGCTTAGTTGCTTGCAAGCCTTTGTTCAGTAAGGATGTGTTTGTAAAGCGAAAAACGATGTGTTCACGCGTTACTGCTGACAGTGAAAAACGTGAAAAGCTGCTGTTGACAACGTTATTGAACACCAGTTAGTATAGAATCGATTATACCGCCGGACTGAAAGATAGAATGCCTGACAAGGGGTGGGGGAATCAAGGAAATGACTACCACATAGAATGCCTGCAAGCATGTTGAGGCATACCCGAGACGTACCCTGAAAAACGCATTGAGGCGTACCTGGACTTACTTGAAGTGCTTTCCGAAGGATGGAATTTGTATGCCAGATTGAGGAAAATGCAAAAGCATGTTTAAAAAAAAGCTTGGAGCTTATTCAATTCATCTCCCATTGGAGATCTATATGCCTGATACTATTACTATATAGTGCTTGCTGTGATTCTGTGCAATTCTGTGCAATTTACGGCTCGTTTCTTGAAAATCACTGCATTCGGACTGAAAGATAGCATGCCGTAGCAAATCTTCATGTTCTTGTTATGTGGTACCTTGTAGGCATTCAAAGAGAATCCTAAGATTCTAAGCCATACAAATCAGCCAAACATGTTCTAAGATTTCAATCATTGAGCCGGCATGGCATTCTATCTTTCCCTCCGTGTGTGTGTGTGTGTGTGTTATTTTTAATCATTCTGGCACCTTCCATGCGAAGTTTCATCATGTTTCATCCACTGATCACGTGAATCCCCCAAAAAGCGAAACCCACAAACCAACCCAAACGCGAACCCGGCCCAGCTTCAGCAGATTCAAGGACGGCCCAGGTTCCGAACCCGGGTCGGACGGCTCGGACCGGGCGGATTCGAATGGGTTCGTTCGGGGGCGGAGATCTAGGTTGTTGAATCAAGCGATTTTTACCGTCAAATATGGAGCTGCTCTGTTGACAGCCTGAAAGTGATAAGTGGATCTGAGTTCATCCACAGACCCACCGTGACACACCCACGACTGGGACTGGATTGAAACAGCTCCCCCAGGCCGGCCCCTCCTGTAGAATTGAAACGAATTCCGAGCCCGTCCCCAACATCTTTTGACTGTCTCACATTGGGGAGTCTTCAGGTCTTAGCAATCGGGCTGTGTGCTCTTGGCATTTCTTGGCATCTTCATGTGTTGGGCTTTCGACATGGATGAGCACTGTGCCATTTTTGTGAGAAGGAACATCCATTCACAAGCAATGTTACGCTAGGACCTAAGAGGAAAGGGTGTTGACATGCTTGGACCTATGAAATCTTCCTGTAGCACATTTCAGTGAGCCTTAATCTACAGAAGTGGGGTTTAGGGAGCAGGAAAGGGGTTTTCAAGCACATGTCCCTCTCATGCTGGCTGCGCTTGGGAGCATCTTTGGGTCCTGGTTCACCTGAGAAGGCCTTGGGTACCATTACCCATCATGACCTACACCTATATATTGATTATATATTGATAATTTTGAATGAAAGGACAGCAGGCTACGACTTGCACAGCCAAGGGTCTGCTTGGTCTTTTCGTTCACCAGCATGGTGCGCCAGGAGGTCCACTTGCTCTCATGGCCTGTCGATGAGCGCAAAGGCAAATGAAGGTGAAAGCGGGCCAAGGGGGAAGGAACCCATGCACTCGAAGCACTGGAAGCACGCCATCGAACGTTCACAGTGTGTGACCTTCAGTGACATGAAGTGGCCAATGGGAATGGTGGCGGGATGCTTAATATAGCTTTAAAACGCATACTAAAGAGATCTAAATAGACTTTTTGTTACTACAGTTACTACAGGTGAAACGGAAACGATTCCCAGTGAAACGATTCCCAAGGAAGCTTCTAGTTACTAGAAAGCTTAATGGTGCGGGAAGGCCATTTGGTTTCAGGACTTCCGAGTCTTCTCGTCCACAGTGACGTCTTGTTGAGACTCCCTTTGTGCCCCCGACGGGAGGTATTGGGTGCTGTTTGTGTTTGTGTCCCGTCAAAAACGTCCAAGGTTGGAAGAAGCGTGGAGAAGTGTAGCATCATCAACCTCCTTTGGTTCCCCCCCGCCCCCAAAGAAGAAGAAACAACAAAAAAGAGGATGGGACTCTCATGGACTCTCCCTTTGGCTCTCCCATCTTCACAAGGATCCAAGTTGGCCCATGATCTTCGGACACTGATTCTCCGAAGAGGATGAGCATCTCCCGCCTGGGATGGCATGTCCAGCACCTGTGCTGTTTCTGCCAAGGCAGCGGCAAGCCCGGTGGAGCTTTTCGGGGAGGGTGGAGCAAGGGCCGTTGCTGCTTGGATTCCAATGGTAGGTGGAGACTCCTCAGAGATCTCACACAAATTGTTTCTTTCTCTTCGTGAGCCGCAAACACCTTTCTCCATTTCCCCCTTCCAAAAGCACCTCTGGAATCCTCTGGACACCTTTGCGGTCTTTAAACGAGGATATGCGAGGATCACGTGTTGCGTCCACTGTAAGGGCCACATGGAACTGCAGCCCCTGGGGTGGGGGTGGTCAACGAACTCCATGAAACTACTGCACTCCGATGAACACGCCACATGGCAGATCATGGCAGTGTCCGCACGGCCCTCACTTCCGTGGAAAGTGACGCCGACTGTACGTAGTCATTCTGGGTTTGGCACTTTGTCAGTGGGAATTATCGTTGCAAAGCAGGTGAATCCAGCTCAAAACAGAAGGGATTGAGGAATGGCCAAACTGTATTCTGCTTTCACCCACATATGATGTTTGATGATTTTTGCGGGGGCACGTTGATTTCGCCAAAGAGGTTGGACCTGTTCATGAGTATCACCTCAAAAATCGGGCAATACAGAAATGGTGCAATATGGATCCAATCTTTGAGGTCTTCCTATCGGCCACTTCGGCTGCGTGTCTTAGCAAATAATTTTCTGCTTCATTGAGGGTGGCGGCTGTGGTTCGCCCAAAGCCTCCGGCCTTCGGGGTTGAAGGACTTCAAAGTGAAGTCGCCATGGTTGCCTTCAGAAATATTCCTGGCGCCCACGTGCCGCGGGCCGCGTGGGGGATGCACAGGCCAAAATACAGAAGGCATTCCCATCACCCGTCCCAATCTAGGGACCGTAGGCGGTACCACCACCAGAATAAGTTGTTTGTTTTTTTGAGGTGGGGGGACCTTTAAAAAAATCTTTCCGACCGTGTCAGACCCAAGCTTGCAATATTTGGGTTTCTGAACAGTTTTGTTACGAGGGTGTCCATGTGCTCCAAATAATTTCTGGATCAATCCCGGGGGGGACCTAGTAAAAACTGAGTCTGAAAACCGAGCTGTCGGGAACTCTCACGGAAAGATCATCCGACACACAACATCCTACGCACGACATGACATCCGACACGCGATGGCTGAGAATGACATCCAACGTCCCAACACAAGACAACCATTGCACGCAATAGATGATAGATGCACAGCAATCATCAATGAAGGGCTTCTGACATCATGGACGTTGAGTTGCTGAGGAAGAAGGATGCAGAAAGCAAAAAAGGAGAACAAGTGGTTAGTTTTCAGCAGAAATTATTTGAGCAAAATTATTTCAGTAGGTGACGGGTCCCCTCAATTAATTTTACATTGGCACGGGTGATAGACTCCCTGTGCTCTATTGAGCCTGGACCCAAGCAATCCCAACTAGTCCTTCACCGCGGTTAATAATCCGGATGTGAAATGTCCGGTATGATGCACCTGGATGTCTGGATCCAGGAATATCAAAAAATGTACCCAAAAGGAAAAATCTCCCAACCAAGCTCCAAAAGGATCTGCTGAACCTGGTTCTCTCAGGAGCTTGGAGTAGTGCATGGGTCTTCTGACTCCGGTCGTTCACTTCACAGGAAGTTGGACACGTTCAAAAGCTTGCAGTGTAGCTCACACTGCCAATCACTTGAGCCAAAATGTCCCGGTGGGACATGTTGGTGTCTTTTGTGAACATAAAACTTGCGCACGCAAGCTAAATGCAAGTGTCAATATAACATGACCCAAGCCATTGCAAATTCTAGATTGAAGCCCTTGATGATGTTGCTTCCATATGTCATCCTTCGACCCAAGCATTCCGTTGGGCCAAGCGAGCCCGTCCTCAAAAGCAACTCCGCGTGCGCATCAGCCTCCAGCCCTGCAACGCGCAAGGCACGCGGTTGCTCCAGGTCAGTTTGGGGGTCTCTAATTGAAGACAAAGACCAGGAGCAATCGACCAGTTTCAGACATTGAGGGCTGCAGAAGTTGCAGCTTCTGAGACACCGTGTCACTCGGTGTATCCCAAAATGGAGTGACCAAAAGCGACGACACAAAGGGCTGTCTCTGACCCGCCACATGTCTCCATATCTCTCCATATGTCTCCCACCGGCCTATGGTGTGAATCGCTGCCTCACGTTTGTTGAGGAAGCGAATCGTGGACAGAATCTTCTCATGGTCGCTTTGTTTAAAGGCGGCACTGGAGATGATGTAAATCTCATCACAGGACCTAAGCTGATTGGCTGGGAAGAAGGACAAGAGCACCAACAATGATGTTCTTTTTCCAGGACATGCCATGCACAGAGACTCTCGGCAGAGTTCAAGGAGACAATAACCAATAGCATCGTGCAACACCACTCGGACTCTCCAAAGCCTCGTCAGTTTCTCAGCACCCACATGGAACAACTTCCACCAAAAACCACATCAGTTCTAGGCGGAACCCAACCAAAGCGGCTTGAAGGCGAGCGCAAAGCGAACTGCCTGTTCAAAACGAAGGATCGGGGGGGTCTTGGGTGTTGGCCATGGTCCACTTGCGACACTTCAATCAGCTCAAAAAGGCCAGTTCGTGATTTTTTCATCTGAATCAAGGCATTCTTGCTGAAGAAGGACTCGTCCACAATAATCCACTCATTTTTGATCCCAAGGTCAACACCAAATCAATCCAAAAACTCTTCAAATCTCAAAAACCTCCCAACTCGGATGGGGTTCCTCAACCAAGTTGGCGCGCTCCACTGGGACGAGCCTCAGATTGCGCTGTTGGTCGTCGTCCACCAAATAGATGCAGTCGGAAATACATGCAATATATACTATTATATATTGTTATATATATATATATCAACGGTCGCTTTTGTTTCCTTCTTGATGGTCGGTCAATGTTGTGTAGATCGCCACATAGGAAGAAACATGCGGTGCGTGGGACCGGGAGGGACGGCTATGTATAACTGATTTTTGATAAAAAGACCCAGTCTTCCCCTCCACTTGATCATTGATCAAAATGGAAAAGACTTGGCTCATCTTGCCATATCTTGCCTACTTTTTCCTGTGGGGTGTCACTTCAGCGAAGTGCAATAAATGTTCTCCCCAGGGGATTGTCTGAACATTCTGAACCTTCGAAGCAGGGCAAGTCTGGACATGCTACGTTGCGTCTTGAGCAAAACGCCAAACGACCCCCGGGGGGGTTGTTTCCGTTGGCTTTCCAGCATGGAAAAAAGCTTTCACCTCCGGTTCCGACCCGGACGAACTAGACAAGACCTGGTGAGTCAAAACCTCCTCCCACCTGGTTCTTGAAGTTCACATCAGGGTCAATCGGTTCATCTAAAAAGTCCACGGCCTGTCGACCCACGACGGCCGACCGCGAGACGCCCGGCCGACCGATCCACGGCGGTCTCCGCTTCGGAAGCGATCGATTCCGCTGCCTCCGGGCTCCCGGGCTGATCGATCCAATCCTCGGCCTTCTGAAGCGCCAGCTCGCTGGGCGCCTCGGTCACACCCAGAGAGGTTGAGAGACCTGAACGTTCGGAGCCTGGTCTGTGGAACATATGGGATGGGCGAAAATAAGGCTGTTCAACCTCTCTTGGCGTGAAGCTGAAACAGTACAGTACGGACACAACTCATGACACATGACCACAACATCATGCAACAACTCTTCTACCTACCTCTTTCAGGTAATTTTTGGGATGGAAAAGGGTCGACGCTGCGTGGGCGGTGGGTTTGGTCATGCTCATGTGGTTCCAGGGAAGCATCATTGGACTACCGGAAATTACTAAGAACGGTTTTGTTAGGTCTGCTAGAACCAGATATAGAAGGTTCTCTAATCATGTGCAATCAATTCATCAGGGTTCTGGTTCTGCTCTTTGCAACGAACTTCGATTCCAAACCCGCGGAGCAGCGGTACAGTCGCCCACAGTCTGGGCGTCTCGGCCATCATGTCTTGGGCCCACAGTCGGGGCTCACCTTTGCTCCCAAAGCGAACCAGCTGGAAGGAGTCTTTGCTTCCCAGATGGACGTGGAGCGCTCGCTTCACACCCGCCTCACTGCGGCTACTACGCCGCGACGTGTGGAAGCGACGACTCTCGGGGGAATTGGCTGGAGATTCTGATCGACCCATACGAAGAGAGGGAGCCGAACTCCCTCTCCAGCCACTTGAAGATAAGAGTTCGGCCGCCCGGCCATTGATTCCGGGTGGAATTTGTGGCTAAGCAATTCCCACCGACCTCCAAGGATGGAATTCCTTTTGGAGTACCAAGGACATCATGTAATCAACATCATTTGCCAAGACTAGATATTGATAGATATCGCTGTGCCAAGGACATCGCTTGCAATCCTTTGTTCCATCGATGTTTCACTGACCGCTGGCTTGGGCCACCGTTCTCGGCTCTCGGATGTTCTGCACCCCCCCCAGGTGCACCGGGTCGGTGGCTTAGGCTCCGCGGTTCCGGCAAAGCCCGTCCGGCCTTGACATAGAACAAATGTTCCGCCACTGCAGCAGACCTGAGGATGGTGAAGTGCTCACCGGAAAGGATATCTTACACCAAATTCTGGTGTGGGACAGGGGAGTCTTCCACTTTCATCAAGATTCTAGTCGGCATAAGTTAAGTCTAATGATTAGCTAGGCCTCCAGGTCCATCAAAATACTATGACTTTCAAGCTGTCCGTGGTCTGAGACCGCCAGCTAAACAAAAAACAATGAAGTCCTTCATAAAGAACACAATCATGTCGCGCATGAGAAAAAGCGGAGGGTAAGAGCTGAGACCGGGTTCCTCACAAGACTTTGCAAACCTTTAAGCATCATGTATATAAATATGTAAATATTGGGTCTATCCCAATACCTGTAACAGTGGATGATGATGGTTAGTAAAGGCCTTGTTCAAAAATAGTAATAGTAGTAATTAGTTAATAATTAATTGTTTACTGACTGTTACAGGTAATAGGACAGACCCAATGAGGTCCTTTATCTCGTTGACACGGACCCACAATCTACTGCGTGTACTGAAACCATTCCCCCCTTTCAAGCAACCTAATTTCTTGATCAAATGCGCGTCAAGTTCTCAAACAATTGAATTCCATTGGATGTCTCCCAATCACAACTCACAGCTTGAGAGTTCTCTGCACAAGCCTTCGAAGTTAAGACTTCTCCTTCGGCGTCACGTCTTCGACGCTTCAAATCTTCGGCGTCGTGTCTCGACTCTGGACTCTAGACGAAAGCACACTGAAAGCCAGCAAAGCTTTCTTTGAATGAGTGATGAGCCAAAAGATGCCAAGAGAGGTTGAACAGCCTTTTTTCGCCCATCCCATATGCACCACAGGCATCCACAGACCAGGGTCCGAACGTTAAGGTCCCTCAACCTCTCTTGGAGTGTATCCATTTCTGAGTCTCCTTGCGTGTCAATGATCACCACCGGATGGCGTCCACTTGCGATGGGCAGAAGGGGCTGATCCATCTCGATCATAGAACCCTCTACCTGGCGACAAGGGTTGGCGCATCCCCAAAAAACTGAGAAGTTATACAACTAAGTAGTTCCCCGGGGAAATATGACCCCAAACAACTTGTTCAAGCAACCAGACTTTTTAAAAGGCTTTCTTGACCTGTTTCTCAATAGAAAACCTGTGGTGTGGGAAAACATCGCACTGATTGGGGTGGGCAAACCGAAAACTGCCAGGCGGTGGGTGCTACGGTGCTTTGGAAGAATAACAGGGAGCCTCATGAGTTGTTGGACGAAGTTTCCGCATAGATAGGCACCCCGGCAGTCCGTCCAACAAAAATGCCCATCAAACCCTAGCCCTAGCCTTCCAGAAACATTTTTGGGCAGCTAGGAAAATCACACATCTTGCATGCCGGTACTTCTCATACCAAACGACCAAACGTTCTACATTCTCTTCTGTGAGCCAACAAAACAAGGCCGGCTCCTTGCACCACCAACGACCGACCAACCCGACCGCCCCGACCGCGACGATACCAAGCATGGACGACACCCCGTTCACGGCGCCTCTGCAAAGGCATGGTAGTCCACTGGCAGCATCACGTTCACGACGTCGCTGTCAGACTTGCCCTGCGGGAACGAGGAGAACCAGACACTAGGCTTCAGAGTTGGTACAAAACATCCAAAGAACCCCAAAGGTATGAGAGTCAATGCCCAAGGTTTGAAGATGACATGTTCGGCTGACATGACACATCCAACTACAAGTGGTTGCTGGAGACATCCAATCGAAGGCACGTTTCAGGCATTGAGCGCGCGGCCCTAACTGGGGAGAAAGAGGATCCCCAAACTGTGGTTATTTCAGGGATCAGCCTAACCGCTCTAATCCCCAAGGTGTTGGGGAGAAAAATATGGGTTGCTTCCCGCCTTAGTCAACAAATGTCGAAGAGCTCGAAGAGATGCTTGGATGACCTGCCGTGGGGGTGACTCACCAAGTGGTTGGCGCGAAGTTCCATTTTTGCCACTGCTTTGTCGCGTGAGCAACTCACCGAATGACCCACGGCGAGTGATCTGTAAGATGTTCTGGGTGGATTTGGCAAGACTTGCAACCTGTCTGGGTGTGGCCAAGAACCCAAGTATGGGTTGTTCTCCATGGATCAAAGCTCTGATCCAAACCCTCTCTGGGTCACGCAATTTGCTCACTTGATCCCAGCCTCTCCCACAGCTGAAACCTGACACTGTGGTGTCCACACACACACACAGAGGTGTGTGAATGCATGTGCTTGTTTGTCTTTTTCACGCCCAAAGCCCAAACATTTCGTGTGCTAGGAATGCAGCTCGGCTTCGTCACTGATGCCTGGTAAACCTCCCTCCCCCATGTCACAAGGATACATGGAACTTGCAGTTTGCAGGCGCTGCGCAATCTCACAGAAAAGGAAAGTTCCTGTAAACATTTTGGTGGCCTCATACACTTCCACCGCACTGCGCACCAGTGCAAATCACACCCAACAGCCAAGGGTTGACAGGCAGGTGGAACTTGGAATGTAGTGGCTCCCACTAAACGCTTTTGGGGGTCCAAGCATTTTCCACTCAGTGGCTTCCGCTGAGTTGAAACTGTGTGTCCGCTGACCAGCCTGCCGTCGCTCTTTTGCGCCCCTTGGAGATGCCCAAATTAACAGCTTCCACCACACTGTTTTTCTCTTCTCTTCCAAGCTCCAGAAACTCCTCAACCTAGTTTTTTTTGAAGCTCCAAAATATGTGTAATTCTCAGGGTTTGGTGGCTTTGCGTCGTTCAGCTTTCTGAAGAGGGGGCATCTGAAAGATGACCCGTCACTATTTTCTGCCACTGTCAAAGACAGAATCTTTGTCCGGGCTTGAATATGTCTTCTCGCGTGCCCCTCCTCTTCTGCTCGCAGCTGTTGCAACAAGTGGCTTCATCTTGAAGTGGTGCCAGTCTTTGCCGTCTTTGCACGTTCAGCTGGCCAGCAAGCAAGCAGTTTCCTGTCAGGCACTCTCCCATAAGGCTTTAAGGTGGATGCAGAAACTCCCGAATCTTTGCCACCTGCCAACACTGGACCCGACAACGTGTCAGAGTACACGAAGCTTTCGTCTTGACAGTGATATTGGAGCTGTCAGCTTCGGGGGTAGAAAGACAATATGTATATTCAATTTTGAGGTCACCTTCACTGCTTGACCAGCAACTTGTATCGAAAGGTCTCGGGCAAAGTCACAATCTGGTGTGTTGGGCCGGTGGGAAGTGAATCCAATGACATGGTGCTCTCAGCACCCGATAGGAGTCCAACCACTGCCTCTGCCAAACTGTCCATCTCATCATTCCTGCCTTTTCCGTGATGTTTTCCAAAAAGTCCAGAAGACTATGCATTCTCCAGAACATCGATGGCAGCCCACAAAGCGTACGCCCGAAAATGTGCACAGCTGCATCCACCAATACAGGCGTGGAAGCAGCACTTCAAGCTGGGTCAAGGAGCGGAACTGCTTCATGCCAGGCGATGTATAGATTGATCCCTGGCATGTGGCAAAGAAGGCCAAATGACCAACACCGTCTGCCCAACAACCAACCAACCAACCAGCCAACCAACCAACCAACCAAACAAACAAACCAACCAACCCAACCAACCCAACCAACCCAGCCAACCCAGCCAACCCAGCCAACCAGCCAACCCACCAACCCACCCACCCCACCCACAGCCAAACAACAACCAAACAACCAAACACCCAAACAGCCAAGCCACAAGCAACAAACAACCAACAACCACCCAACCACCCACCCAACCACCCACCCACCCAACCAACCAACCAACCACAACAACAACAACAAGAAATGAACAAGCCCTGGTGACAATTCGAGGCTCAATATTCCTGACCGGCGCTCGCCCCAGTCAGCCGCATCTTCTTTTCGACATGACCAGCACCAAGAAACTCAAAGCTGAGTAGGTTGCCTTTGCCTGGTGGCAACAGGCTTTTGGGTGGCTGCAACTTCGTTCGAGACAGGCACTTCGAGGAAAGTCTTCGCAAGCATCTCAAATGGAGCCGCCGACAAAAATTAGCGGGAACCGCTAAGTTGAAAGTGAGTGATTCGATATTATCGGGCTTTCCCTGTCCCTGTAAGATGAACGAACTGAATTGGTCCAAGGAGAAAATGATTCCTTAGTCATTAGGCCAAATAGTCCTCTGAAGACAGAGGGCGCTCACAAAAGAGCCCACTTGAAAGGAAGCAAAAAATCTAATATATAACATAACAAAATACCAGAAGCTATTATTCCCCAAACATCTTCCACATTAGGGTTGCTCCTCTTGGACCATGGATGATGGCATCTAGATGAAATGGTGTCGCATGGTTGACAACTTTTTGGTGAGAAGGCCTGGAGGCCTCCTCTGCCCTTCAATCCACAACAACCAAACTATGTGATCCAAGAGCTTGGATCACACACCCACCTTCTAATCCATGCCCCATGGATCAAGGTATGGATCGTGTGTAGGTTGGGTATGTGATCCAAGCCTTGTGCTTCTGGCCGCGGCCATTTCACTGGAGTTGGAACTACAGCGCCAAAAGGCTCGCGGCAGAGACTGCTCCTTGCGAAGCCATAAATGTGCGAGGCGTTCTAAGTAGCAAAGCTTCATGGCAGAGGTTCATAGCTGTTAATGCACCGAACACGTCCTCTGGCAACGGAGAACGGATACTTCCCCGCAACGTGGCAGAACCCTCGAACCTCTTGATGCTCCTTCAATTCGGCGATGTGACAATGGACCTGCAAAGGAAGTCTCACACGAAGAAAAACAATCATTGAGGTCCAAAGAAATACACATAAAAAGAGCTCTCTCTGTCTCTCTCTCTATATATATATATATATATTCGGTATATAATTTATAGTATCATTATTTAATACTCAAACTACTGCAATCTACTGTATGTGTCATCATTTTTCTACTTAGCTTGTCAGTACATCGACTATCAAGACAAACACCTGCGACTTGAAATGGCCCAGGACAGGCCGGGTGGCAGAAAGGAACAGAACAGCCACATATGAATGATGATTGAACATTGACGCTGGTTTTCCCCAGCATGCAACAAGGAATGGCATCGGGAAGTTGTGGTCTTTACGGTCCGCACCCTAGCTCATCTCATTAACTGCAGATACTACTGCAGGGCCCCACTGTCCACCTAGTGCACCTGGGGATTAGAATGGCATCTGGCTCAACTGGCCTTTGCTTGGAATACGTTCAGCTCGGACTTGGGGATGTTGTAGTGCACCGGCCTTGACTGCGAGCGCAGGTCACACCAGTCCTCACTCCTGATGGTCTCGCCAAGTGGCATGGTGGCAGCGGGGTCGGACTTCAAGGCAGTCTGTGGCCGCATGAAAACAGAGACGAAGGAACCCGAAGTCTGAAGGAACTTGGCACCCACATACTTCCCAATGGAGGCCACCTTGGTCGAATTTGGGAACGCTTTCCGGACGCGGACGCGAGGGTTCGGGAGCGCAGTGATGGGGCAGTGGTAGAAATAAGGCCGTGCTGGCACGAAGGACTTCAGGAAACACAAGGAAACATGGGAAGCTTCGGAAGCTCAAGCCCAACAGCCAAGGCTTGTCCTTCAATTGCTCCTTTGTTGGTCCAGCAGGCCAACGTGTCCTACGCCTTGGATGATGGTGGCAGAAACCCAAAAAACACGCTAAAACATATATAGGAATTAAAGCAGTCTTCCGTGGTTTTTGTGGGTGCCCACTTGGTAAATTGATTCCAACCTCATCATCTCTCATCCAGCCACCGAAAACAGAACGATGACAAGAACCTCTTCGCCTTCGCAACAGAACACCGCAGCTGGCAGCTCGTATTTCGGGGCACATACTTCGGCTCCGTGATGAACTCCGGCTTAAAGTGTGAGATGATGAAGTCTCGCAGCCTGGTTCCAGGAGAAAGAAAAAAACTCCTTAACTGGATGAGTGCTGTTTTTCTCATTCAATCATGGATGTCGACGGTTCACCCGTGGATTTGCTTCGACCTGTCAAGGACTAACTCGCTTCGTGTTCTGTGACTCTTCAGCAGGTCGAAGGACGTAGTTTCGTGCTCAGGGTCGGACGATGCCCCGCTTGCATTGTTGAGGTGCACGGCAAGAATCAGTTCTGTGTATTTTGGCTGATGTAAACCATAAGCGAAATATGTATATATATATATGTATACACATGGAGGCGCGTTTACGGCTTTCAACATGCTATATGTCACGCCGTCAGCACTCATGTCACCTCCACGGTGTCACGTCCTCCACGGTGGGCGGACAGACCGTAGCAGACGTGGGCGCCTGGCCTGGGTGTGAGATGCTCCACCAGCCAGCCATCGTCGTAGCAGGTCATCTGCACGGGATCACAGGGATGATCCACCTGCGCATGGATGAGCGGTGCTTGCTCCTTGGAGCAGTGCGAGCGCCAAGGTCCTCCGTGAGTCCTTGCTTTCTTAGGGCCCGTGAGTGCTGGCGGTCAGTCTGGGTGGTTTGGATTAGTTGGAGATCAAATGAGGTTCGATTTTTGGTCAGGATATTCCTTTAGTGATAAAAGTTCTGTTTACAAGTTGTGATCTGTGTGTAAGAAGGCTTTTCAATGGCAAAGCGAATGCAGGCGATGATCGAAACAAAGCATGCAGGCGCTCACTGGAAATCTAGGGAAGGAGGCGTCTGGTTTGACATCAAAAGAGGCACACCCAGTGTGCCACCGGCGCATGAGCCGCAAAAAGGTTTCTCAGGCTTCACCCATCTTATGGGGGTTAAATTTGAAATGACCTCATGCACTACAACGGCTTGACCAAGTATCAAGGGATATCAAAAGGATGCAGGGTCGTATGTCATATGTTGAAAAAAATACAGCAAACGCAACACAACTATTCAAGCTCTTGTCCTGATGCTTTTCCTCTCCCATCAGACTGTTCACACCGCGCCTTCAGACTCTCGTACGGCATTCGTTCCTGAGTGAGAAAGCGACTGAGCGGCTGAACACATCCACTTCCTCCTGTTCGAGCTCTGAATGACTCGGTCTTGAGGATAAGCTCTGCTGTGCGAGCCAGGCTGTTCAACGGCACCTACCACCCTCCCCTGCACCTCCTATTCTGCTCCAACTCTGCACTGCCCCTCATCTCGGCAGAGTTCGGGTATTGGGCTCCCAGATAGAGGTCCCTCCGGCTGGGTCCAAACAAAAGGACCCAAAGCCCCAGCTGCAGCTGGAGGGATCCCGACAGGTTTCTCCCGGCCCGAAGACGGCCCGAAGACGGGGATCGGGCGAACAGGATCCTCAAAATAGAAGTTCCCGGTTTTTTGGGGCTTGCTGGAAATACTTGAAAAAATTGTATGTTCTGTTCCTCTCTTAGTTCGTAGCAATGCTCAGGCCGGACAAGAGGAGTTCGTATCCGATCACGGCGTGTGGCCTCGGCTCCCTCTCCTGAATTTGCCTCCATCGAACGAACACTATAACCCGACCCGACTTGGTTCCGGCGTCACTTTGGAGCATTTTGTTACTAGTGCCTCACATGGAAAGGGTCCAGAAACAGCCTCCCTACAGGATCAAATCCGGATCAACACATGCCATATCATCCTCCGTCTCTTGTGCACCGAGTGTCCATCTCAAATTCCTCCACAGGCCCTGGCACTGGCTCGGTGTATGGTGGTGGAGGTGGCCGAGGCAAGGGCGGATAATCCTCATGGCGAGGCGCGACGTCAGAACCAAGTCTGAGGATCAAAGAGGCCAGGATCATCCTGTCTTGAGGTCCATAAGCATCATAAGAGTGACTCGGACAGGATGCCGACATGGAAAATGATCATGGAATGGACCCATCAGAGCAGACCAGAGGTCCCTTGTCCTCGTCTCTGTCCATGTCTATTGATCAGTGTGGAGGTTCCCGATGTTTCATTGGGTTTCGTTGTTGAGGTCATGCAGTTCCTTTGAGATGCTCCTATTCCACAAGCCCTCGGAGGTTCTTGAGATTGGTGCATCGGGTTGCATGTTGACACCTCAAAATTGCTATCAGCCAGCCTTGGATCAGGGTGTTTGACTGGAGTTATATAAGAGGTATTTGATTTGCATGCAGTAATCACCCATCTCACCCACCATCTTTGGCTCTAAGAGATTCTTTTGACTGATTTGGTTGACCTCAGACCTCTGGCAGGGTTCTGGCAGCACGAATGAATCGCACCTACCAAATGGGATTCAACTCCAACGCCAAATCCTCCAACTCCAACGCCATCCGACGCCCAGCCAAAGGGCTTCTTCTGGTGGTGGTACCAGCCCCTCGTCTGCTTCCAGCTCCTGTGGACGTCAAAATCATGGGTTTGGTCTTCTCCAAAAATGGGAGGCCAATCCTTCGTTGTTCGAAGCATCCAAAATAGACACAAAAGCTGGCCGCCCAACGGTGTAGACTTGACTAGACGGTACTCTAGACGGTCTTTTTGTGTTCCAATCCATGGAAATAGGAAGTCGACTGCACTTGAGATACGGAATGCGTCCAAGAGATGTGGCTGTGGGCTTGGAGAGTCATCACTTGCTAGTCTGCCCCAAGATATACTAACCGTTTTGAATACCATATTTTACCACTCTTACCAAAGGTTCATCTATACCCATATCACTCATAAGACCTGCTACAAATGATCTCGAAATCGGTGTCATTCGGTTTTCCCACCGCCCAATCCATCCGGCGCCATGTTAGGCGCCCAAGAGTGGCCCGTGTTAGGCTTCCGACCTTGGGTTCTCCCCGCAGCCAGTTAAAGCAGTCAGTCAAAGCAAGTGAAGTGGAGATCTGCCATCTAGTGGTTATCGGTTATTTGTTTGTGGACTATTACATGCTTGGGGGATTGACCTAAACGCACCCGAAAAACGGGTGTGAAAAACCCTTGAAGCCTTCGCCCCAAGGGATGCGAGATGATGCAGCCCTCACGGGCGGAGCAGCGCTGGTGTCCGGGATTTCCACACCGGGAGGTCCAGCGGAGCTGCTTCAAATGGTAGATATTTAAGATAGATAGATAGATAATATTATAACATATAACTACCATATATTCTTACCATGTTATCATTTTTAGCAGAATGGTAGATATATAAGAATGGGCTGCTTCTTTATGGTAGATAATAATAGATGGTAAAAGAATGTCATTCTTTCAGATCTTTGGATCCACCATCGAGCACTCGCGGCCTCAAAATCGCTTCAGAATCTGGTGCTCGGTTGGCCCCTTGGCCACTAGCACCTCTTGGATCGAAACGAGGCAACAAGGCCAGCAACGTGCCAAACGCACGTTTGGTTGGGTCAAGCCATGTCATTCTTTCGGTCAAGGAGTCCAAAAGAGAGTCTAAAAGGCTCTTAAAAAGGGGCCGTTTCTCGCGCCGTGTCACGGGAACCGATTCTCAACCTGACTACAGCATCGGCAATAGCTGGCATCGTGACCTCTCACGACACTCTAGCTTCGTATATTTCTCACTGACAATCATACTTCTCTTGGATTAGCTCACCGAGGACGTATGGTTTCTGGTCAATGGTGATTAGGAACGCTTTGAGGAGGGACTCCTTGTGGTCGTGCAAAAGCCGGTTTGGCTCCTTAGCTCCCTCCTCGGGATTCCTGAAATCATAGTAAGAGAAGCGCGTCAACCGAAGCGCGTCATCCACGAGCGCGTCAGCGATCATCGGAGTGTCTTCCTCTGGATCTTCCTCCACGGTCCACTCGAAAATGGGCGGAGGATCTTCATCCACTTTTTCCTCAGGCCTCTTAGGTGCAGGAAGCTTCCAATCTGGCCCACGAACCTTCTGCGGGCGCAGGCAATGGAGGGAGATCCCCTCACTTGAGATGGCCATGGCAGTTGCAGTCAACTAGGAATGCGCATGAATGCGCCGTGTTTCTGTCCAGAGCCGAAGACTGCCAAAGCAGTATAACGTCAACCTGGTCAATTGAAATCCAAAGACACCTTGACACTGACACTTTGTGGAGAAATGACCACACATGATCACACATGGCTGTGGGTCAAAACTTGGAGCCCCCAACCCTGGTAGGTTGAGCTTCCTGGTAGTCTATTCTGTTCATGTTCAGTGTTCAACACGGGTGTCCCGGTGTCACATCCATCACACATTGATATCCATGGAGTGAAAGCACGCGCATGTTAGCTTCGTTCGTCAGCTTCGTTCGTCCCATCACCGGTTCCGGTGCAGAGCCCTCCTCCTCCTCCGAGTCGTAGTCTTGATGAAACTGTGGAGGCAAAGAGACGTGCGCAGTGACCGGGAGGATCCTGCGGTCGTCCCACCAGGTGTGTTCACCGGTGTTGTTCTACCCCGGCTGTATCCACCGGGTGAAAGCCGGGCTCAGTTGGAGGATGGCGGATGTGGCGAGTCTCCCCTACACCCAACTCAGAAAAGCGCTTGGCCGCCCTTTTGGCAAATATATGTGCCTTTCAAGTCAAAAGCACATGTCTCAAGAGAAAAAGAACACTGACTCTCTGAAAGCAAAGAGATGAGAAATGACGATTCAACTCACGACTTGCCAAACTGGAGATGTCCTAGGATGAACCCGAACTTCTTAGTCTCAATCGCGAAAAGTAGATGGCAAGGCTTCATTGCTTAGGCATCGCGTGTCACGGCAAAACCTTGGTCCTGGCAGAGTCTCTACTACCTGCCAGAGCCGAGAACTCGTGCCGGTTCTCCAGAGGGACAAACCTGGCGGGCCAAAGGGAGAAGATAAAAGATCAAGACCCAGTGGTTGGAGACCAACTCATCATGCTGGTACATGACATTTCGATATTCTCGTTCTCCCAGCTTCACTTTGCCATCCTTGTGTTTCAGCCCCAAGTGCCCCGAATCACCACCCGCATCCCTTGGGCGAACTGGTGTATAGTGTGTGGGAATCAGAATTCCAAAGAAGTAGTTCTGCACTACGCTCAAGGGTTGTTAACAATCACACGACTCTCATTTCGAGTGAAAGTGGATTTGTCGGAGGTTCGCAGGCCAAAAAGAAAAGTTAAAGCAAACACCTCATAAACAACACCTGGGTCAAGGCTGTTTCTTGTCTCGGGCACCCTGACTTACGTTAGTACCCACCCAGTGTCCACCCAGTTCAGAATCCAGGGGAGCTGTGCATTTTATCCCAAAGAAAGATAGGTGGTGCCGGCAAAAATGACTATCCCTGTAACTGGCTTCCACAGAGTGGGGCCGGTGCCATACTCCCGCACTTCATTCGGAAACATCAGCATCCTCTTCGGTTCCTCGTTTGGGCCCTGTGTCTTGGTTTGATCACTCTTCGGTTCGTTCTTCGACGGCCGCATTTGTTCCTCGTCGACCTGTTCGTACTGCGCCGGTGTTAAGTTCAGACCGGTTCAGACCTTCTCGGCTTTCGTCTCAACACACCGCCTTATCGTCTCTCAACACGTGCACGTCACGACTTTGGTGAAAAATGAAGGGTTCTATGAAGTGATAAAAATGGGGAAAGATGTGTCAGAGTCAAAAAATTAGTCAGCTGTCTGTAGTATTAACACAACCCTAGTGAGTGTAAGGAAGTCGACGTTGCAGAATCTCTATCGTTCTTCAGTGTTCTCCCAAACTTTACTCCAGGCCCGAAGGTACGAATCATAACGTTGAACTTTTGAACGGTGATGTGTAATCCCCAAGATTGTTTTTGGATGTTTTTGGCCAACCCCCACATTACACCACCACGTGGGAATTGAGCCAAGAGTTCTGCCTTCTCACCTCCAGAACAGATGAATAAATTGTGAAGAGTGTCCACTAGACGCTGAAAGCAAGCAATCTTTGGTGCTTGGACAGGAAGATGTCTCTTCAAACAAGCACTCCATTAGTGCAAGGGCAGTCCATGTCAGTCCTTGCCAAAAGGCAACCTTCTTCCGGTCGCCAAATTCGCCAAAAATAACAAAAGACATTGGACCCTGAACGCGGTGAAGAGGCTGGAAAATATGGATTAGTGGAGAAGGGCAAATCCATGCAAATCCATACTTTGGTGGGCTTAAACATGTTGCCTACTATTTTGGTTGTCTATCCTGTAATCCATTTGTGCAGAGTACCCAAAAAAAGGCGCCTGGGTGGCTCTGGGCCATCAAAAGAGCTCGGCCTGAGCTGCGTCACTTCACTGGGTTTATCACCACATAGTCTTGGCTCAGGTGTTTGGGAAGACCTGTGTACAGCCTGGGATGCAGGTACATTTTCCCACCCGTTATATATACAGTATATATACATTGAGATGGATCATGTGATGACGTGACTAGCAGACCGTCAGCACGCCCATGTTGAAGTTCTACAGTACTCCAATCCTGCGAAGAGGCAGGTCATCTACTGTAGTCAGCGGTCGTCCTACCTCTCAAAACGGATCGGACACCAGACCCTGCGAAATGAAGTTTTCACCAACTCCCGGCAGATCCATCCACGATCACACGCGAAACATTCCGGAGACGTCCCTTCGAGAGATACGCTTCCAAGAATCATCCCGAGTTTCTCGGAGAAAAACGTTTAAAAAAAAAAAAAACGTACAATGTCGTAGCTGAACACGTGCAAAACCAATAGGGTAAACATCCTTCGCTGGACTGTTGCTGTTGCGCGCTCCATTTCTTTCTTCCAAGTCACTCGAGGTTGGGGGGCGCAGAATAATAAACACTCGAGGTCTCGGGCTGGTGCTGGAAGCTCCTGCCGAGCAAATTGAGCCGTTCTGAATACTTGGCTAGGAGATGTGTCATCAGCATGGAAACCCCCTCCGTGGAAGCAAGGGCTGCCATACGGTTTTTCATGAACTTCAAAGGCTTCTTTGAGCTTCACATACAGCGACTTGCGGCGACTTGCCCTACAAATCTCATGAAGCGCCCTTGGCTGTTGTCACTCAATCCATTCCCACGGTCAACGGGTATGGGGCACCCAACGTCAACCTGACCGAAGCCAACGTCAACCTGACCGAAGCCTGTCACTCCTGCCCATTGATATTTGATGAGGAACCGCAGGAGCAGCAGGTTGCCCCACAGGAACCGCAAATTGCCCCGCCATCGGCACCGCTTCACCGTATCTGGGAGCGACAAAACACTGCACCTATGCCACTGGTTGAGTGTGGAGGCGAACTAGTTACCACAGCTACCACTTTGTGTATGTTCTACAAAGGGAAAAGGTTTCAAGGAGCCAGTTCCTGTGAAACCATGTTAGTGTGTAATTATATATAATATGTGTATGTAACACATACTGTATATGTGTAAATTATATATATATATATAAAAGAAACGCATTTCACGATGTTATAAATACATATAATACCGATACCCACCTACACGGGGGGGAAGGCCACTCCAGGGTCAGCCAGGACCCACCCTCGGAAAGGCCTCGGACATGGTGCGCCCCGGTTTCGGCCAAAGGGGAGGCCAAAGGATGCCTCCCGGTTTCGGTCCTGGTGAGAGATGGGAGTGGGAGATGGGAGTGCCGGATGAAGCGGAACAGTGGCTGACACCCATCGCATCAGACCTCTTCTGGTGAACAGTTGAGTCATTTCCACACGATAGGGGCATCTGTGGAAAGGCTTTCAGCCAAGGGGAATGGTTGGTCCGAATGTTGGTGTCTCAAGCATTGATCTCCGCAGAAAAAACTGTGGTTGAAGCGGTGGTTACTTCTTGTGCTAAGCAGAGAAGATCCAAGCTGGGCCCTGCGCGCCCTCGCTCCTGAAGAAGCTCTCCATCCTCACCTCTGATCATCACAACCACTTCCTCTCCGTCTCGAAAAATATCCCCCAAGGCCTCCTCCACGGGGACTAAAGCCTCACATACATCGGTTTCGAGTCACAGTGCCGAGTCGTAAAATTCACCACTTGAAGCTGTGCTCAATTGAAAGTTCCATACCCCAAGAATGGAAGCGTTGTCCGATCTGGTTGGTGTGATGATTTATCGGTTGCTCGGCAAAAAAATACTTTGGCCACACCTCATTCCTTATCAGATTATCAGAACCTACAGCCTACAGCACAGCCTTTCAGATGCCTTTCACTTCCGAGACTTGTCCACCTCGTGCCAAAACTGCACTTTCAATATCAAGAGCTCCTAGAGTCGCGCCTGAAAGCTATTTCTCACTTCCGCGATGGTCCCTTGCACACCATTCCTCTGCAGTTTCTGCTGCACCTGCCAGGCTTCGCCGCGCGAACCGTGCGGACACCGCGCGCCACGTGCAGCGCCGTCTGCGCCTTGGTGTATAAGGCCTCGATTCCGGCATCTTCATCCACCACGATCAAGAATCTGGCCGCCACCTGATTAGTCAGAGCAAGTTTGGAGGCAACGAAGGAAATGGAATTGGAAACAGAAAAGGAGGTGGCCGCGGGCTGTTTCACGAACTGTTCCGCAGGCCCGGTGAGTTGGCAGGGTTTCCATCCATTTCTGGCCTGTCACTCCCCAAAGGCATGAAAGGACCATCCCCCTCTGCCTCCGGAGAAATCACGTCAAAGATATACACATGCCTGGCCTCTTATAATAATAGATATATATATATATAAGATATAACTGAGATATAATAAAGATATATTATATATATAACCATATATATATATATACACACCTATTATAATTGAGATATCACCATGTGTTCAGCAGGAGGTTGCCTTTCAAGGAATTGTGCAAAGTACAACTGGAGTCCATCTTCAGAGTTCATCTAAATCCTGACCTGAAGCCTTTTCCTTGTAGCTCAATTGTGACCTTTTGGCACCAGAAAGCAAATGCCAAAGGCAACAAAAGGGAGAAGGCTCTTTGCACTCAAACTTTCAGCTCAACAGCCACGGGGGAAGTAGATGGCTCAAAGCTGACCACGCCAAAGAAGCATCCCCAAGGTCGTTCTCTTGTTGACTCCCCGGTCACAACCAGCCAGAAACCTATTTGGCTCCTTCCACATAAACCGCTCAGAAAAAACTGCCACCAGTGCAAATACTCCAACTGGTCTCCGACCCCTTCAGTCCCAGAACATGAAAAATTTGTGCACCATTTGGGGCATCCAGGTAGTATTGCAAGTCATGACCGACGTGCCCAGCTGTTGAAGAAACCAAAAAAAATCAACATCGACCAAGATCACTGGGTTGGGCGCCCTTCCATCAGCACTGGAAGCAGAGACACTACGTAAATATCCCGTGTGCTGGGGCCTCATTGCTCAAGTATGCCACGACGTTCAGCCGCATGCGACGGTTGCCGCCCTCTGACATGGCTTGCATGGGCGTGGCTCTCATCTTGTCGGGGAGAAAAGCTGAAGGTTATGGAGGTGTCCAACACCAACGCGTCCAAGGCGTGTCGTGACTTTCTATCATCCATTCAGGGGGAGGTCTTTGAGTCACATGCCCCAGTCATGGACATCCAGCTATCTCTGTCTTGCTGGGTGTTTTCGCATTCGCTTTGTGCCTCCCGACACAGTCGCTCGTGCACCGCAGGTAGATGTCATGCTCTGTCGGCCTTGCTTCCTCTGGCCAAGGCGTCAAGAGCATGTCTGATTCCATCCAATGATGTCTCATCTGTTTCGTTCTGTGCCTGTGGTCGTGTAGCCATCAGAGCCAATACGATTGCCAATACGATTGCGTGGTCGTTCAAGTGCAAAGGACTGAAGTGGAACATTCAAATCCTCAGTGCCCTTCAAAGACCTTCCATAGTGTAAAAATTGCTTTGACCCACCTGTCGAGCTCTGTTCAACCTCTGCCGTGTTCAACCAGTGGTTGACCTTCCATGTCACCAATCCATGTCAGAAGTAACCAGAAACCAAAAAAATACAAAGATGCTCTGGGTGCCCTTTCTGCCCCGTTCCACCCAGAAACCGGCACCCGTTCCGCCGGCCTGGCGAGGGTCCCTCTGGGTCGATCCATGTTCGGACGTGAACGCGCTGGACGGTGGAGACATCCGGAAGCAAAGTCCCAAGGGGTCAAAGAGGCCAAGGTTCACCCAACAATTGTTTGGTGTACAGTAATTGTTTGTTTCGCTTCTACTCCGAAGTCAGCTGCTGAAATCGCACCCAAAGTCAGGAAGTCGCTTTGGGAACCGATCCTTTCGCCGAGCGGCAGAGCATCGGACACCAGGTGGGAGATGTACCGAACCCCAAACCACATTGGTCAACTCTGAGATGTCTCCCTGTTCAAAAGTGACTAAGCGTTATTAACCAACAAGCAGCTGACCCAAAACCATCTCACCAATCTTCCTTCAAACCAAACAGTTTTAGATACTGACACTTTGGGCTTCTCACAGAACAAAGAGAGCCATAGTTGTCATGGTGCTCCAAGAACTCATGTGTCTCCGTTCGTGCGTGGCTTTCTTCATCCTTCACCAACTGCGTCTGAGATACTCAAAGTGGGGTGGGGCTTGAGCCATACTCCACTGATGTCATAATACCCAAAAAGCCCTTCAGTCGGGTTAAATCTTGAGCCATACCCACTGATGTCATGGTGTGTTGCAACTGCAAAAGTCCGGGCCCGATGTAGCCCTTCCTCCGCTCTTAGAACACCATTTGAGCCACCATGGGAGCGACTTGAGTAGCATGTTTGCACACGCTTTGTCTGTGTTTTTGTGGTGTTCTAAACACAGAAGGAAGTTGCTCTAAATCCGGGTCCAGTGTCCATGTGGTGTTTAGGGAGGGTATATCTTTACATGCATGTCTTCACCTTGTGCCCCTGAAGCCAACCTGTGTACCTTCATCCTCATCTATCATTCAATTGGAACGTTCAAGGAAAACACACATCGATAGTGGTCACCAGCCACGATGTTGCGCCCTGAAAAAGCCCAGCCCAGGTTTTTTGTTTCGCTCAAGCACAACTGCAATGATAAAGAGGTCTTCTTTTCTATTTGTTTCCTCATTCCTTTGGTTTTGCTTCTTCCGAATATTCCTGAATGTTGGAGCCAAACATCGCCCGTAACTTCTTCGCAGTCGTCACTTGTCGTCACTGGTCGTCCACCCTAAGGGGGGACCATGGCTCCTTGGAGGGTGGCGGAGTCCTTAGTGCAGAGGGAGGGATGGAGGGAGGGAGAACAGGCCCTCTTGGATGCCAAAAAGGGCCAAATGCGAAAGAGCTTTCTGAGTCACTGCATCAAATTAGGGTGTCTCATGGTATCTCTCATGCCTCACGGCCAGCTGTTTGCTTGTGCTTGGGGTGCCCTCGCATTACAAAAGCAACAATCAGAAGACATCTCATTGTTTGGGCACGTGAAGTGCCTTGCGAAGCTCATTTTAAGACCGCACTGGTAATGGCCACTTCTGGGTGATTCTGGTGTTGGCTCACGAATTGGGAGCAATCAGCATGATTGTTGACCTTGACACAAAATATCATCGGGTGGTAAACACCTCTGGTTCACTGGGCAAGTCCTACTGACAAAACTCTGTTCAGTCCCAACAAGTCGTAGTGGCCCAAAGGAGAAAGAAAACCATGAATACGCGCGCCAACCGGATGAATTAGGTTGCATTTCGCACGAACCAACGTTGTCATATATATATATGTTAGTTATAATATCTATATAGAGAGAGTCAGAGAGATCGTTGGGACTACATACTATACAATGTGTATATATATATATATGTATTCTATGGGGAGCCCATATTTATATATTATATGGTTATTAGTTATATACATAAGCTTGCATAAGTCAGCCATCCTCTTCCAACAAGGGCTTTGACACCACGACATCTCTCTTTGTGGTCACGTCCTTCCGTGTCGCCCTGAGTCGGCCGACGCCTCCGCATTGGCCGACGCCTAAGCAGGTTGGCAATGTTTGAAAGTCTTCCCAGGGCAATGATGTTCAATCAAAAACTCGGAAATACTAAAACTTAGAGCCTCCACTAAGGGATTCCCAGTCAGTCGAGACACCCTGCATTTGGCCGACAAAATTCAACCCCAAAAACTCTACTATGGCAGTGACCTCGGTGCTGAAACACACCCACTTAAACCTTTTGAGTGGATACTGTACAAGTACTAGTACAAGTCTCTCCAATTTCCCGGGCCAAAGGAGTTCCTATGCAAAGAACGTGTTGTGACTCCTCTGCATCTCTTTCTTTTTAGGCAGCTTTTTTACGTGACTGCGCAGTCCTGGAGTGGATTCGGATAGAGCGTGGGCTGACATCTTCAAAATCTGTTCCGACATGTGTCTGGATGTCATTTCCAGATCCCTTTCCCCCTTGCAGCATGGAGTTTGCTGAAATTCTATCGTCCGCAGCCTCTGCCAGTTTCCTTGCTCTCGAGCGGTCCTGGCACGCTTCTCGGCGAGAGAGAGAGAGAGAGAGATAGAGAGAGATGGATTTCACACGAGAAGAAGGTCGAAGTGGCTTCTCCAGTTGGGCCACCGGCCGGGCCAGCTGGGCCACCCTTGCACACCAAGAAGTCTGAAGGGGAGTCGTGGCTCAGAGGTTCACCCCGGCTCGACTACCTGAGGAAAACCTCTTAGCGAGAAGAAGGTCACATGATGTAACTATGTCCCCCGTCACATCTTTGTTTCGTTCGTGGACTCGACTCAAAATCAAGCATCATGCCGCAATCATGCCAGTTCATCTCACTTCTGAAGACTTTCATAAGATTACAAAATTATCCTATGGATACTTTCCTGCATTCCCCTTCTTCGAAGTAACTGCCTTCCTTCCAGAAAAAAAGAATAGAAACATTACAGTAAAAAGAAAAAGCGATCGCAGAGGCCGAAGTGAAAACTCTGGGTGCTCCCCACTCTCGCCACTTGGTACAAGCGCTCGAACACATTGAGGGCATCGGCTTCCTGCACCGGTCGACCGTCGGACCCACAACCGGTCGACCGATCCGTGGAGCTGTGGTCAGGGATGGTCAGATGCACAAGAAAGCGCCATGCTGGGACCAAAGGAGAGACAGGGACCAAAGGATGAAGGGATGAAGTGGGCGCAGGTTCTCATGATGAGCTCGTCTTTCGAAGGGAATACCGTACTAATTGACGTGAGTGACCCCAAAGAAGTTATAGAAATAATATGCTTGGAACAATGAGTGGCGCTTTGGCAATGGTTTCTATTCAATCTAAACCACGCGCCCCAGTGTTCTCACTGCTCTCTCCACCCATGTCAGCCTCCTTCTCACTACCCGCCTCCCGCGCTTGCCCCACCGTCTGAGCCAGGCGGGTGATGGAGGGATGGTGCGTGACATCTTGGTACCTCGGTGTGGACATCGGTGGACATCTGTTTCGTGGGAATCGGCATGTCAAAAATCGGAAACCCACGCGCGAGCTTAGGGTGTTTGGTCCCTCAAAGCATTGGACCTTGGACTGGGTTGACCCACCTCTGATGAGAATGTTTGCGCTGCAAGAAAACATAGCTCTCTCTGGACTACCCCAAAAGTGGAGCCCTGGCGTGTCTCTGGTTGCGGGAAAAACACATGTCAAGTGCTATGATGGGATGAATGATTACAACATTGCAAAACATGTTGCCTGCCTGCTGCCAAGGGGCAGGGCCTGACTAGTTTCCATATGTGTTTTGCTGAGGAAAACTGAGCCTGGTGATCCAAAGGGCCACTAGACACAGCAGCTAGCTTATGCCACAAACTTCAAGAGGAGAGAAGTTCTAGGTGAGTCCATTAACCCATGTTCTCCCTCCCTCCCTCCTCCCTCCCTCCCTCCCTCCCTCCCCTCCCTCCCTCCCTCCCTCCCTTACGCGCGCTCTCTCTCTCTCTCTCTCTTTCTCGGGGCCCCGAGCATCTCTGATTCCACAGACTCAAGCTTGCTTTTCTTGCTTTCCAGTTGTTGATCGAGCCAGTCCTTCGGCGTAACAGTGGCATTCCTTGAAGGGTTTGGGCAAGTTCAATCAATTTCAACCCATCGGAGTCCAACGATCGTCAAACAACCGGTCCGATGCTACATACCTTGGCGTTACGTTCGATCTTCGACATGGAAGAGGATGTGGAGTTTTGGCGGTATCCCCCACCCACCAGCAGTGTCAAGTCCCAGAAGAAATATGAAGAAAGGACAATAGTCTGAAGATCCGCAAATCGGTTCCATATCCATCATCAGCTGTAGTTGTAGGTCCTCATAGAATCCGTTGTCTGTTTCGCCTGAGTTTTGTTTTTCTGCTACCTACCCAGCCCGGTCGTTTCGGCCTGCCATCGACCGCTTCTCGGGGAGATCTCCTGCGTGACGGTGGATCCGGCAGAGTCTCGGAGGATCTCTTGGTTTTTCAGGATGTGTTTTTGATTGACCAATTGTCATGTCCTATCTGGTGGGAAGAACATCACCTCTAGGATCCTCGGTCGGGGACCTACCATATTCTTG